GGAACGAATCTTTTTTGTCTGCATCTTGATAGTGAATTATTATTATTCATTCAACACTTTGGAATCGATAACTGATTTTAATTTCCAAGTGGAAAATAAAACAAAAATTAATACTATTAATGATTTAATGAACAGTGGTCTTCAATTTAGTTCTGAATTAAATAAAATAAGACTTTTTCCCAAACTCTATAATCAGAGTGATTTCACAGCCTGGGCGAAAAAAAGTCGAGTATCAACATACGAGGAATGTATTGAACTTCTACTCAAATACAAGAACATAACTTGTATTATGAGATTATCACAAGCTAAATGGCACGCTGGATTGTACAGAGAACAACATCTCGTGAAATTTGTTCCAGAATTTATTGTTTCTGTTGCAATTGGATTTGCTTTTGAACCTGGATCTCCGTATGTTGAAAAATTTCAACAATTACACACACTATTGATGGAATTTGCGTTACTAGAAAAATGGAGAATAAAGAAGTTATCATACAATCAACAGGATACCATTTTAGAGAAAAAAATAATGAAATGTTATGAGAATAAAGGTGAATGGAAATTACGATATTTGCTGATTATAATAATGATTTCTGGTTATTTCGAATCGATTATTTTATTTGTCATTGAAGTGGCCATTGACAAGTGGAAGAGGAGACAGAAATCACAATGACTTTAAAGGTACGATTTTAATGATATAGAAATTTAGTGAAATGACTAAATGCAAATTAGCAAAAACAAACAAAAAATTTATTACAGATTATTTAGCTTCAGTTGTCAGAGAAAGAAACTGAAATATTTCTTTCCGATACCACTATTTCTAATGCCTATTATCAAATTTGACCTCTGATAAATAAAATCAATAAATAAAGGCTGTATTTTTTTTTTAAACAATTTTCGTTGCTTAGCTACCAAATACGATTCATTAAATAAAAAAGAAAAGAAAAAAGAATACTTATAAAAATATCCATAATGCAACTTGATCTAGTAAAGTTTTTACAATCGTGATACAATAGAAAATAAAAAAAATTAAGAAAAGGGTCATCTGTAAATTACACTGATTTCGTATTTTGTGTTTTCTGAAACAAAATCTAAAATTATAATTCATTTAATAAATTTGTCTGTAAAAAATTTTAATCACAAATACAAAAAATGAAGAGACAAATAGTATTCCTTCTTTACATAATTATAATAGTTTATGAAGTTAGTCAAAAAAATTATGTGACAAAGTCTGAAATTATCAAAATGAAACAAAAGAATCTATCGAAATGGTCTGAAAGAGTCATAACGACATTAAAAAGTGATGCAAAAATTTATCAAATTGTATTGATAACCAACTGTGGAACGTTTGAGCATACTGAAATAATTCAAGATCTACAAGAAAATATACCGACGTTATATTTCAATGAATTTTATTCAAAACAGGAATTAAAACATCTTGAGCAAATAAATTCTTTAAGTAATCCACGAGATACAACCTTGTTCATTGTTATTGAATCTCCAGACCAAAACAATATCCAATGGACAGAAGAAATGATGGCATATATTAAAAAATTGTCAGACTTTTGTATTCGACCAAAATGTTTAATTCTTCGCTTTTTAAGTTATAATCAAACTTCCAATTACGCAAAATTTCTCCAAAAGATGTGGCAAGATTCATTTCTAGACGTGAAGATTCTAGATATTAATAGAGAACGAGCAACAATTCATGAACTAAATCCGTTTATTTTCTACAAATCAAAATCGTTTTCCAAAAAAACGCCATTGTTTTCTCAAAAACTTGAAAATTTTAATGGATATCCAATAAATGTTGGAATCGTCAATCGACCACCGTTTGTAAAATTAAAACGAAATTCAACAAATTATCCTATTGATATTTCAGGTCCTGATGCAGAAGTTGGAAAAATCTTCTCTAAACTATTGAATTACAAACAAATATTGTTACTAGCAAAAAAAGAAAGTTATGGTAAAATCTATTGTAATGTAAATAAATTAACTGGTTTCTATTCTATGATTCGAAAAAATAAAGCTCAACTCATTTGAGTAACGGCTGCGCAATTAAAAAATTTTTGCGACAATCAAATGTTCGAAAATGCAATTCTTGATCTAGATCATTATATTGCAATTATTTCCACAATGATGTCATTGAACAATACGTCAATTATGATAGGGAACACTTTCTACTATTCAATTTTATTGACTGTCTTCATTACATTATTCAGTAGGATAATTGTAAAAATTTGAAAATTTGAAAAAACAATTTGGAAATGGACTTGGAGTCTTCGTGGAGCATCAGCCAAAAAAATTAAAAGAACGTATCATTTTTGGATGCTTTCTGATGGTGAATTTTTATTATTCTTTCAACATTTTGGAATCGATAACTAATTTTAATTTTCAACTTGAAAATGAAAGAGAAATTAATTCCCAGAACGATTTATTGAATAGTTGTCTTCAATTTAGTTCTGAATTAAATAAAATAACATTATTTCCCACAGTCATTAATCAAACTGATTTTACAATCTGGGTGAAAAAAAGTCGAGCATTCACTTACGAGGAATGTATTGAATTTCTTCTCGAATACAAGAATATAACTTGTATTATGAGATTTTCACAAGCTGAATGGTACGCTGGATTTTACAAAGAACAAAATCTTTTAAAATACGTTCCAGAATTTATTTCATCTGTTGTTGTTGGACATGCAGTGGAAACTGGTTCTCCGTACGTTGAGAAATATCAACAAGTTTTTATAGATTATTGAAAGAATTTGCATTATTGGAAAAATGGAAAATAAGAAAGTTACCGCATCATCAACTGGGGAAATTACAAAAAGAAGATAAGAATAACGATAAATAGAAGTTGCTATCTTCGCTGATGGTGATATTGATTGGTGGTTATTCCACATCGATTATTTTATTTGTTATTGAACTAGTTGTTGGCAAGTGTAAGAGAAGACGAAAATGACAATTTTTTTTTTTTTTTTTGGTATCGTTGATTGTGAATTTTGCATTAGATTTTAAAAATACAAAATGGATGATCAAAATTGCGGATTTGTTTTAAGTTCATCAGATTTTCTTGAATATAATTTTTTAAGAGGATTTGCCGATCGTTAATTAAGAAACTGATGTAAGTTTTTCAAAATAGAAAATGACTGAAGGAAGGTTAATTATAAATTGATTAGATTTTTTTGAAACTAATCATTACTCGGATGTTTTTAACGTCGCTACTTACAAATCTGAATTCAGTTTTTATTAAGTAGAAATTGCGGATGATTTTTCAAACAAAAATTTGGATTCGCTTGTTAATTTTTACTGTGTAATTTCTAAATTCGATGATTACGAATCTGACGCCAGGTTTAAAAAATCCCAAATGGCGGATCCAATATGGACTTTTTTTTAATTAATTGATTGAATTCGCTCCAAATTCGTTAGTCAGGGATTTTTGGGGTCACTGATTACGAATCCGTTTTCAGTTTTTTAAATTCAAAATGGAAATTTTTTTAAGAATTCCCATTTAATTTCAGATTTGTAATAAGCAAATCTCAAAAGTCTTAAAAAAAACCCAGATAACATGTTTAATAAATACCCAACAATTCATCCGGTCATATTGGATCCAAAATTTTGAATTTTTAAAATCTAGTATCAGTTTTGTAATATTTCTGCACTACTAAATGTTTAAGACTTATTAAGGAAGCTCTCCGGCGCCAGTGGAGCTCAATAACAACCTGTTCTATATATATATAAGAATAACTTCTCCCTCAAAAGAAATAGTTGAGAACATTTTCCTGTTTCCCTTCCCCTCTGTCAAGTGCAGAAGTGCAAAATTTGTAATTGTGCGCAGCTTTTTAAGATACGGCAACAGTGTAGAACGGCTGACTATAAACAGCTGACACAAGTTGGTTCATCGCAAGAAGAACATAACCTACTTTTTATGTTTGTTTATTTATTTCAGTTCACTAAAAAATCACTTGAATTTCAATTTTCAGATTACTGTTATTAAAAATTGAACATCGTTACCCCTATAGAATTTTATTTACTTTTATTTCTCTAATTCGCCCCTACAATATACTAGTTTTTGAGAAAAAGTTATCACGTACTTTTGGAGAAAATAAATAAAATCTATCATTTTCAACGTTCAGGTTAGGAATGCTATGTTAAATATTACAACTTTGAAGTTAAATATCGCAATTTTTAACATCGCAAGCGATATTGAAATTTTTACCACGCATACAGGATATAAAAATGAGCATTTCCTCAAAGTTTTAGAAAAATCTATCACAAATCGATTTGCCGGAGAACTTCCTTAAAGTAAAAGGTTATGTTATCAAGTTATTTAGATATTAAAAAAAAAATTTTAACTTTATAAAAATCGATTATTTAAACAAATATGAGAAATTAAAACTAATACCGTAATTTTCTATTACGGCGCGTTTGTATCAGATTCGGTGTATCAATTACGGTGACCAACATTACGTGTATTTTGAAGATACTTTGCCCACCGTAATTGAAGCCAATGGAAATTTTAAAAATGTTTCAATTACGGCGAGGAAAAAAATTTGATCTCAAATAATTAAATTAATAATTATTTAAATGTGCATTTTTATTAGATCCAAAAAAAGATTAAACAAATTTTTTTTAATTATTTTGCAACAGTTATATTAAATATAATAGTAATAATAGTTTTTTTTTATGAACGCGCCGTAATTGATGCACTTACTATAATATAAAATGTTTTAAAAAATAAATTATTCTACAACATTTTTTACAAAAATTCATATCTGCGAATCATATTCTTGCAAATTAATGAAATATTTAATAATTATTGTAGAACAGTATAAATTTAAAAATAAAAATATATAATTTTATGTATATGCAAAATTAATAATTATTAATAAAAAATTTTTTAAAAAAACTAAAATTCTCTTTATTAATTGGAAATTTTTTTTAAATATCTACATGTTTCGATAAATTTTTGAAAAAAATAATTAAATGAGAGCTGAATATTACCTAGATTAGAATTTCCTTCCGTGGCTCCATAAAACTCTCCAATTTGCTTAACTTGAAATCTTTTCACAAATGGTTCCCAAATTTGTGGCCTTAGACCATTTCCATACAGCAATCTAACTTTATGAGACGTATCATATGAACTTGGTGGTACCGTCATCAGATATCGACAAATTTCCCCAATATATTGTCCTACCTAAAAAAAAAAATAGAAATCTTAATTTTCAAAAAAAGAAAAAAATATTTACACAAATTTATAGAAAGGAAAAATTAAAAAATATATATATCTAAAATTAAACATGGAAATTATGGGTCGGTACTATTTTCACGCAAAATTATACTGAAATTTTTCTAAATTTATTTTAAATACCTATATATATATTATGAATATTTAATTTTTAAAATATATTTTAAAGAAAATTATTTTAAAATGAAACTGTAGTATAAGGGTCATTCTCACAAAAAGGACAAATGACACGTTCATGACATTATTTTTAATAAATAATTATAATAATTGAAAATGTTGCGGGCCTTATTATAGAAGTCAACAGAATTTAATAAGATTTTATAAAAAAAAATTGACAATTTTAAATAATTGAATATAATCATGTTTATATAGTGTAAAAACTCCCCTCCGTTACCGTTCGCGAAGTAAGTTTTATTTAAAGAAGAATTATTGCATTCATACTGCAATAGGAAAACATCTTTTGTCTAGTAACATCTACTAATTACATTATTTATAATTGATTTATAAAGTGTAAAACAGAATATTTGTAAAATATTTTTTCCTAGAATTAAATAAGTTTTGTTCGCAAAGTAAACTCCCCTCCGTGACCAATTACAAATATAATGAGTAAATGAAAAAAAAAAAATGATAATTGAGAAATGAAGAATTCAAAAGTGTTTACAGTGACGATGTTGTTTTGGTCAGTACACAACATCATGAAAGAAATGAAAACAATAAGTGTCAGAAAGATTTTCAGTTTCGCAATGTTCGTCGACACAAAAAAACTCCCCTCCGTGACCACTTTAAATTTAGTTTTTTGATAAATAAATAATAAATATTATTAATAATTTTTAGAATATTCTTTTAAATATCGCGAATACTATTATTACTTTTTTTTATAAAATTTATTATTTTTATATTAGAATCAATAAATTTTGGCTACGCCTAAAGGAAGAAAACTCCCCTCCGTGATCGCTAGTCACATCCATCGATTATAAAGCCTCATGCAAAAAAATGCACCTTTTTCGTACCTCGAATTTTGAAACTTTCTTTATGCCAAATGGTAACATATGATGACCCAATAATCCCTGCAAAATTTCAAGATGAGCATATGCCCCCTTTCGGAATTACAGGGGGTCAAAGGGGGCCATGTCAAAAAAAAGAACATGTAATATTATCGAATAATAATGTTAAAAAAATCAAACGAAATCGTTCCTTCAAGATTTTCGTCTGCTGATTACGAATTTGAAGTCCGTTTTCAAAAATTCAAAATGGCGGAACCTATATGGTGGACAACAATTTAAAAAATCGATCCGATTGACCTGAAAATGGTTACTCGGAGGTTTTTGGGGTCGCTGATTACGAATCTGAGGTCCGTTTTTCAAAATTCAAAATGGCGGATCCAATATGGCGGACTACAATTTCAAAAATCAATCCAATTTACTTGAAAATGGTTACTTGGGTTACCTTCAGATTTGTGTTAACCGTTATTGAAACCCCCTAATTAACGATATTGAAGCCAATTAAATAGATTTAAAAGATAATTGTCCGACATTTTGAATTTTTTAAAACTGATTCCAGATTCGTAATCAGCGACCCCAAAAACCCCTGAGTAACTATTTTCAAGTAAATTGGATGGATGTTTAAATCTGTCGTCCGCCATTTTGAATTTTTAAAAACGGACCTTAAATTCGTAATCAGCGACCCCGAAAACCCCCGAATAACCATTTTCAAGTAAATTGGACTGATTTTTGAAATTGTCGTCCGCCATATTGGATCTGTCATTTTGAATTTTAAAAAACTAACACCGGATTCGTATTTAGCGACCCCAAAAACCCTCGAGTAACAAGATTTAAACGGATTCGATCATTGTATCGGTGACAAAATATTAAACAATTATTTTATATTAAACAATTATTTTTTAAACAATAATGTTCATAAAGATCGTAACAACGTATTTTAGAGACTTATTTAGGTCCTTCTCTTCACATAGCAATAGTCATAACAGTGGTTTTGAACTTTTTTTTTTTTTTTTTTCTTAATTCAGCATTTGTCCTTTTCGAGAGATTCACCCATAAATAAATTTAATTTTTATAATTTACGAATAATTTTTTAGGCGAAAAAAGAAACAGGATATTACTGTGCATTCGTAATGTGTGCAATCAGACCAAAATTTGGAGGCACTAAAACGTCTGCGAAGAACGACAGTAATTCCTCGCAAAAGAGCTTGACCTGCCCCAACAACTCCACCAGCTGTGTGATAAAGGGGTAGAGAATCATAAATTCTGTCTGTCGATCGAAGCCCCAACATAGAGTAAACACCACACGTCATCAACATATACCTGCAATTATCATCTAAAGTAATTTATTTTTACAATTTTCATTTTCCTATTTATATATTTGTTTTTAAATTTTTCTAATTCACAATAATGGAATTTTTAATTTATAACGACAAATTGTTTTATTTCAATTAAAATTAGACGAATTTTTTGTTTTTAAATCGATGGATTTACAGGAAACTTGGTATATATAGGGCACGGTGCGCCAGAAGGAGGTTTAAATAAAAATGAATTGGCACTTAAAAATTCTTTTTGATTATTGTTCTAAGATGAATAAAAAAACTTTTCTCAATAGGTTTTAAAATCAGCTTACGTGCCCAATTTAAAACAAATTGAGTTTTAAATATTTAAAAATAGTGTTTTATGAGGAACCAGAATTTATTTAATGTATACTTATATGCGTATAGATAATAGATGTTTTAGATTTTTCATATAAATTTATTAACAATGAAGTTATTTTCTTGTTTCGTTTTTATATTTATGCATTAAGAGTGTCGAACGGTATCTGAAATTCTTTGGTAAGAAGAGAGCTTTAATTATCGCTCTGAACGTGAAATAGTATTGATTTTAAAATACTTTTTTCTCGAAACACGAACACTTTTAACAAAATCAGCCAAAATCCTCATCTTATAAATTTCCTAAATCCAAAAGACTGTACGAATCCATAGAAAAACATGTTTGCAAAACAAAAAGTAGAAAAGTAATCTTATAACAGCTGCGACTTTGTGCGCCCTGCATGCTGCTGCCATCTGACGGCGGCAGGAGGTAATGAACCCCTCATTATATTACTTTTCGTTTTGCAATCGTGTTTTTGTATGGATTCGTATAATCTTTAAGATTTAGGAAATTTATATAAGATAAGGATCTCTAGCTGCTTTTGTAAAAAGTGTCCGTCTTTCGAGAAGAAAGTATTTTAAAATCAATGTTTATCATTTTCACGTTTAGTGCCGTTTTTATACAGCGATAATTAAAGGTCTCTTCTTGCCAAAAAATTTCAGAGTCCATTCGACTCTCTTAAATAAATTTTGTCACTCTTAAAATCGTTCTTTTAACATTATAATTTAATTTTTTAAAATTGGACACAAACACTACAGCAATATAATTATTTATATGTAAAATTGAAAATAAGTAATTATTGTATCATTTATTACAGTATTTATTAGATTAAATAAATTCTTATTCCCCATAAAATACTGTTTTTATATAAAAACTCAATTTTATTTAAATCGGGCACGTAAACTGATTTTAAAAACTATTGAGAAATGTTTGTTATTCATCTAAGAATCATTATCAAAAAGAATTTTTAAGTGCCAATTCATTTTTATTTAAACCACCTTCTGACGCACCGTGAGGGGTTTTCGTGGTTGCTGAACACAAATTTAGAGTTAGATTTTCAAAATTAAAAATGGGAAAAATTTTCATTTATCCCTAAATAGCAATACAAATATTCTACAACGAAACAATTTTGGAGTAATTTTTTACCCCAGTTGTGTGCCTTTACGTTATTATTTATAATAACAATTTTTAAAAACTATTTATTGTCATTATTTATAATAATTTTTACAAACATCCGATAATTTTTTTAAAAGTTCCACATATTGGATCCGCTGTATTAAATTTTGAAAATCTAACTCCAGATTCATGTTCATTGAGCCTTAAAAATCCTATATACCAAGTTCCATTTAAATCCAATCGATATTTAAAAAAAAAAATTCGTCTGTTGACACATAAAATTTGCTAAAATTTTTGAAATTATAAAAAATCCTTACTTGCGATGAATTAAATTTAACTGAAAATTAAATACAATACACGGAGAAAGGAAAATTTGTATTTTAATTTAAATCATTATTATGCGACACTTTTTGGAAAATATTAAAAAAATTAAATTTTCAAAATTTTGTTTTTCAAATTTGTGAAAGTTAAGCAAAATAAGCGCAAAGTAATTTTGAAAGTAATTATAATTTTACCTTAAATTATTAATAACAGCAGCCTTAGGCATTCCGGTAGTTCCTGAAGTATAAATATAGATTAATTTATCTCTAGGACCAGATAATTCGAGATCAACCTTTAGTGGTTCGGGCTCTGTATTATCTAAAGCTGAGTTTAAATCAACAACTCCATCCAAAATTGGTGAATCAGATCTTTCAGACCATTGATACAGCTTTAGGTCAGGAAGTTTGTCCCTTATTTCATTGATTGCTGAAAAGAAAAAAATAGTTAAATTTTTTTTTTATAACTATATTTCTTCTTTTTATTAAAAATTAATTTTTTTAATTGTAAATAATTTATTTAAAAAAAAAAAGATTTTAACCAACCATCTTTTAGCTCTGATCCAAAAATAATAGCTTTACACTCGGCGGCTTTAATACTGTGGACGAGAACATCACCCCGAAGATTTGTATTCACAAGGGCTGTTACATATCCGGCTTTACTTAAGCCTAACCAAGTGCCAATATATTCAACTCGTCCTTCCATCACCAGTGCAATACTGTCACCTTTTGTCCCTCTTTTGGGACGAAAAAAACGTCCTATTCGATTGCTGAAATCTTCCAACTATGAAAAATGTTTCAAAGAAAAAAACCATGAAGATTTTCTTTTAAAATTTTTTTTTATTTAATTAAAACTAAAATTGTAATTTTGCTTGGACATAATGAGCCAAAAGTTTTGAAAATTAATGAATTTTTTTTTTGCAACTTCTTTACCAAAAATTTTTTACGTAGCTTTCTTTGATAAGGCTTCAAAAATTAAATATATTGTTACAAAAAGTACCCCTTGACATAACCTCTAACTAAAAATTAGTATTATTATAATATACGGTCAGTTGGAGTAAATGGGGACAAGAGGTTTTTGGAGCTTAATTTACAGTTTTAAAATTAAGTTCAACGTCAATATTTTAACCTCAGATCATCTGCAAGAGGTTTTGAGTATTGCCAAGCTTTTATATTGACAATTGGCAGCAAGATAAAAAAAGTTATCGCTCAATGCATAAAAACTTGAAAATCAAAGTCAAACTGTTTTAGTATTTTGTCTCGCATTTTAAAGAAAACAGACTTAAAAATCATACCAAATTTTTTTCTCATTCCTTATGACTCCCATAACAGAAATTCACTTGAATTTTTGATTTTTTTCAATTTGGTTAATAAAGACAATCTGTCCCCATTTACCCTGAGTTTTCAAATTTTTGGGGTAAATGGTGACAGCTTGTCATTATTAACCAAATTGACAAAAATCAAAAATTCAAGTGAATTTCTGTTATGGGAGTCATAAGGAATAAGAAAAAAATTTGGTATGATTTTTATGTCTGTTTTTTTTCAAATGCGAGACAAAATACTGAAATGAAAAAAAAAATAAAAAAATTTCAATTGGTTCAACTGGTCTTTTTAAAGTTTTTTCATCCCTTAATACAGTAATATACTTAAAGAAACTTTTTTCTTAAAACTTTCTTAGAAACTATGCTGTCCCCATTTACCCCAAATTTTATGAAATTTTCTAAATTTTGGGGTAAATGAGGACAGTCAGTTTCATGCTATTAAAGCTTATCTACATTTTTTTCTGCTGCATAAAATTAATCCTGGGAACGTAAATAACAACTTAAAAAAAATAAACCCGCAAATATTACCTTTTAAGGCCAGGTCCAAGTGAGCCCTGGCGGATTCGATTTGCGTAATGTCTACTTAACTAAGCGGACTTTAGGTAGACATTAGGTAGACATGTAAAAAAACGTATAAAAAAGCTATTAATCGACTTATTATGATAAAAAAAAGTTGATAAAAGGGTAAATGAATGTTTATAGAGTAAATTCGTACAAAATTTGTAATTAATAAAGCAATAAATAATTAATAATGAATGGAAATGTGCGCGAGGTACCTGATCAGTTCAGCTGTACAATTATTTTCGTGCTATTTTCATGAAAAGAATATAAATTAATTGCAAAAACAATTGATATTTATAAAAAAGTGTAAAATTGATTTAATTTTATTGTTTGCAATACGAATTATTAAATAATAATTAAGTTTTTATCAAATGTGAATAGTGTTGTGAAAACCTGTGAAAACTAATGAGTTACTACATTACCGATCGCATAAGATAATAAAAAGTTCTCGATGAGTGTAACAAAAAAGCTGCAATCATGCCCGTAATTTTGGACGAGAAACAATTATGAAATCAATAATTATTTGTATAACTTTATTCTGCATTTTAAAATTCACTTTTTATTTTCTTTCAAAGCAAAAGCTTGGAAGAAAACATGCTCGCACTGTATTGTAAAAACTGGTGGCGCCATCTCTCATATGCGATCGGTAATGTAGTAACTCATTAGTTTTCACAGGTTTTCACAACACTATTCACATTTGATAAAAACTTAATTATTATTTAATAATTCGTATTGCAAACAATAAAATTAAATCAATTTTACACTTTTTTATAAATATCAATTGTTTTTGCAATTAATTTATATTCTTTTCATGAAAATAGCACGAAAATAATTGTACAGCTGAACTGATCAGGTACCTCGCGCACATTTCCATTCATTATTAATTATTTATTGCTTTATTAATTACAAATTTTGTACGAATTTACTCTATAAACATTCATTTACCCTTTTATCAACTTTTTTTTATCATAATAAGTCGATTAATAGCTTTTTTATACGTTTTTTTTACATGTCTACCTAATGTCTACCTAAAGTCCGCTTAGTTAAGTAGACATTACGCAAATCGAATCCGCCAGGGAGGCAGCGCCATCTACATTGAAACTAAAATTTTGGAAAATTTTCAACAGCCTTTTCTTGAAAACAAGAAGGTAAAATGCTTTTTCCTTTATGGATAATTGATTATTGGCAAGATATACACCAGCTAAAACTTTTTTTGAGTTAAAATAATAAAAAAAATTTCATGTCAATAAATTAAATATGAGCACTTTTTTTACAAAAACTGTAACAGTACTTTCTCAGAAATTACAATCAAAAATGCAATTTCCATTTGGAAAATTAATAAACGCTAAAAAATACACGACCTAAGATTTACCAATCACGAAAATAACAAAAAAAAAAGTTTTTTAACATAACATATTTTACTCATTATGACAGCCGTTTGGCAGGTTATGTATGTCACCAGACGTTTCGCGGTTTTGCCGAAAGGAGGAGATTGGCTCTGTTGCTAACCACCTGAAATACATAATCTACCAAAGGGCTGTCACAACCAGTAAAGCAGTATCAATATGTTAAATATTTAATAATTTTTTTTTTTGTTATTTTCGTGATTGGTAAATCTTAGGTCGTGTATTTTTTAGTGTTTATTAATTTTCCAAATGGAAATTGCATTTTTGATTGTAATTTCTGAGAAAGTACTGTTACAGTTTTTGTGAAAAAAGTGCTCATATTTAATTTATCGACATGAAATTTTTTTATTATTTTAACTCAAAAAAAGTTTTAGCTGGTATATATCTTGCCAATAATCAATTATGCATAAAGGAAAAAGCATTTTACCATCTTGTTTTCAAGAAAAGGCTGTTGAAAATTTTCCAAAATTTTAGTATCAATGTAGATGGCGCTGCCTCACATGGACCTGGCCTTAAAGGAAGAAACTTACGTAATTCGTGAAAAATAGCGATTTTGTCCCCATTTACCCCAACTGACCCTAATAATAATAATAATAATAATAATAATAATAATAATAATAATAATAATCATATTATTATTAGTATTATTATTATTATCACGAAATAAAACTATTATTAAAATTAATTTTATTAAATTTTAAGAGGTTCTCCTGTACAATTTTCGAAAAATTTATTTTTTGAACCAAAAGTTGTTAAGTAATAATTATTTAACAATTTAGGGTCAGCTGGGGTAAATGGGGACAAAATTCCCACACCCTGAAAAAAGTAATCTCATATTTAGAGGAAAAATCCTCTTCTAATATCCTCTCAATTTTTCCTCTTAAAACAAAAGTATTCCACTTGAATGTTGAATATTTTTATTATTTGGTGACTAATAATAAAACAAAACATTTTTTTTGAGGTTCTGATGTCAACAACATTGAATTAAAGTTAAATAAATAAACAAATCTATTAATTAATGTAAGTAATTAACTATAAATCATTCATTATATTTAATATTTAATTAAAGATATTTAATTTAGTGCATGATAATAGCTTTTCTTTATCAGTTTATAACCATAATTGTCAAATTATATGCGAGATAGGAAAATCCTCTCAAGTGAAGACTATTACTTTTGATACAATATATAAGAGGAAAATATGCATCAAATTAAGAGGAATTCGTTAGAATCAAGATTACTTTTTTTAGGGTGCAGGATTAATTTTATGTAGCAGAAAAAAATGTAGATAAGCTTTAAAAGCATGAAACTGACTGTCCTCATTTACCCCAAAATTTAGAAAATTTCATAAAATTTGGGGTAAATGGGGAGAGCATAGTTTCTAAGAAAGTTTTAAGAAAAATGTTTCCTTAAGTATATTACTGTATTAAGGGATGAAAAAACTTGAAAAAAACCAGTTGAACCAATTGAAATTTTTTTATTTTTTTTTTCATTTCAGTATTTTGTCTCGCATTTCAAAGAAAACAGACTTAAAAATCATACCAAATTTTTTTTCTTATTCCTTATGACTCTCATAACAGAAATTCACTTGAATTTTTGATTTTTGTTAATTTGGTTAAAAATGACAAGCTGTCACCATTTACCCCAAAAATTTGAAAACTCAGGGTAAATGGGGACTTTATTAACCAAATTGACAAAAATAAAAAATTCAAGTGAATTTCTGTTATGGGAGTCATAAGGAATGAGAAAAAAATTTGGTATGATTTTTAAGTCTGTTTTCTTTGAAATACGAGACAAAATACTAAAACAGTTTAACTTTGATTTTCAAGTTTTTATGCATTGAGCGATAACTTTTTTTATCTACGAAGCTGAAGTACGCAACGTTTATGATAAACGATTTTTAAAGGAATAATTTTTAAAAATGAAAAATTCTATAATTTTTTCTACAAAAAAAAATTTCTTATAGTTTTCATTAATCAACAAATTATAAAAAAATATTTTTTGACAAAAAATTATAGAATTTTTCATTTTCAAAAATTATTTCTTTAAAAATTGTCTATTATAAACGTTGTGTACTTCAGCTTCGTTTTTATCTTGCTGCCAATTGTCAAGATAAAAGCTTGGCAATACTCAAAACCTCTTGCAGGTGATCTGAGGTTAAAATATTGACGTTGAACTTATCTTTAAAACTGTAAATTAAGCTCCAAAACCTCTTGTCCCCATTTACCCCAACTGACCCTATATTTTTTTTGTTTGAAGTTAGTGGATAATTATAATTTTTATCCAATTTTTAAAAATAAAAGTTTTTTTTAAAAATTCTCTACAAATTATGTTTGTTTGTTATTGTTAAATAATATTTTATTAACTATTTTTGAGCTCTCCACAAAATTTTAGCTCAATCTATTAATTATTTTGCGAGAAAATCTGCAGATAATATTTATATGTAAAATCACAACAATCACATAACCTTAATCCTCAACACTAAATTTTTATCTCAAAAAGAAATAAAAATTAAATATTTATTTATAAGTTTATTTTTTATTAAATAAAGTTTTATAATTATAAATAACAAAATAAAATAAAATAATAATAATAATTAGTAAAAAAATTAAGTTATATATAAATAATTAAATGAAGTATAGAGGACAAGAGACATGCGTAAGTCAATCATAACAACCTTTAATGACGTAATTTTTTTTACGCGGGAATTTTTACCTCTTGATAAGTCCATTCTTTATCCTCGAAAATATATGCAATTTTATCTGGATGAGCATTGGCAAGATTAGTGAAAACTCTGGCAACTGTCAGTCTTCTAGTTTCCCAAATCCAAAGAATTGCATTGATTTTGAGAAATCGAAAAGCTCCTCTAAAATTGAAAAAAAAAATTTATTAAGTAAATACAAGTTTAGAAAGTATATATACCTATTCTAAAAACTTAATTGTAGATTTAAAAAAAAAATTATTATCAACGTACTAAAATTCATTAATAATAAATAAATCGTTATTACAAATTTATACACATAAATTTTTCAACAACTTTTCTTAAAGTGAAAAAATTGGAAAACATATTTTTTTATTTTAAAAAAAATGTATTTATATATATAGTCAAATGTTTTTAACGGTGATAATATTGACGATCCCCGTGACATCCTCTTCCCTCGCATTAAATTGGTTAATTTTAACATAGTCCGGAGAGTAGTTTAAATCATCGGGATTTATATTTACAACTACTACTATTACTATAATACTAAAATATATTAACACGAACAATTAAAATATTAATAATAATAATAATAATAAACAATTACATAAATATGTGTGATTATTAAAAAAAAATATTTAATTTTCTATCATTAATTTACTGAATAAGTCTTTTATCTTAAATACAGGAAGTGATCGATAAAAAGTGATTAACTTTCTTTTCATAGTTTCTTTTTTAATTTAATGTCTAAATTACCATTTATGCGCTCAGAGATAAAATACCCTTTACAGCAAGTAAAGTACAATTTATTATTTTTAATATACATAAAAAAAAAATTTTAGTTCAATTTAATTTAAAAAAATTTTGAAATTCGATATAATTTAATCATTTATTTATTCTGATATTCAATGACATTGAAATATCACATTTATAGATATATATGTTATCTGATATACTTGTGGTCAGTTTCATTCAATCTACGATATATATTTATTATACTTATTTTATATTTAAAAAAAAAAGAAAAACAGTCACCGATTTCAATTTATTAGAAATTTTACAATTTTATTTTATTATAATAATTATTATAATAAAAAATTATTAAATTCAAATTAAATAAACAATAATTAGTTTTAAAAAATATATAAATTATGTTCTAAGTTTCATAAAAAAAATATATAATTTTGAAAAGTACTTTATTTTATTTAAAAAGTTAAAAGTTTAATTTTAAAAGTAAAATTTTTAAAATAAAAGAACAATTTTTGTTCTTTTTAGAAAAAAGGGGTTTTTGTGTTGAAATTAGATGTGATTAAAGGGACATTTATTGGAAAGAACAAGGAGACAAAGTAATGAAGAGTAAATTTAAGATTAAATTGCAGACATTGGACACGTGCTAAATGGTGTTTTCTTTAAACCACGTGACATTCACTGTTGCTCGATTTATTCACACATCACGTTCTCTTACAAGTGCGCTACAACCATACAGAAAGAATAAATATAAGTGTATGTGCACACGTATTCACAGAAAAAAAAATTTCAGGAACGCCAGTAAAGTGTATAAATTTGTAAAAATTTCAAAAAATAAAGTTAACAATAAAACACTACATTGAAATAAAATTTATTTTATTCAAATAATCCGTTACTTGACTATTATCAAATAAATATTTACTGGAACCAAGTAATTTTTATATATAAATTAAATAAATAGTAATTGAACCAATAATTTTGGTATTTGAAACAAATATCATTTAGATGGAGGCTGTACACTAAAAAAATAGTATTGAATCAAGAAAACCTATGTATGTACTTGACCGTATTTTATACCAATATTTTCTTGATCCAAGAAATTTTTATTAGTTTGAAGTAAATTTTCTTGGATCAAGAAAATATTGGTATAAAATACGGTCAAGTACATAGGTTTTCTTGATTCAATACTATTTTTTTTCAGTGTAACTTAATCTCAAAACTGAAAAATGGTTTTTAACGCAAACAAAAATTCAATAAAAATGAATTTTGCTTCCTTTCCTCCCGAGGAAGCTTTATTGTATTCGTGACGATTAGTGTTTTAAAATTCTCGGTAAAATTGAAACTATGGAGAAGGTAAGAAAGAAAATTGCGTCAAATTACCGAAAAAAGAGAATATACGAGAATATTCATTTAAGTGATTTATAATTTACTTTTTTTAATTTAAATATGTATTTTTATAGAATGTAGGTTAAATATAATTGACAGAAATGTTATTTACATGAAATTATATAATTTATTAATCATTATATAATTTGAACAGTGAATATAAAAAACCGTAATTCTTTTTTGTTCTAGCTTACAGAATTATGTATCACATCACATTATTCCTAACAGTCTAAATAATTGCAAAATTAAATAAAATATTTTACATTAGAGAAAATTATTTTGTTTTTAATTAAATATGTTGTGCTATATAAATTTTCAAACGATGTTATTCACTATAAAATTCACAAAATTTTAGTTTATGCATAAAATAAATCTTTTAAATTACAATTAAATAACCTTATCTTTGGTTGTCAAATTATTTGACTAGAAAATTTGTTTAAAAATTAAAACTTCATTTACATATCCGTTGAGAAGTCTAGTTTAGACGCCTTTTTAACAATTTTTTTTCTGTATCACGTGTATCAAATTCTACCTCAAATATATATATCACATTTTTAACAATCTTAGTGACTTAAAATAGTAACTTTGTTTAATATTTAAACTCTTTAAACATATTTTTAAACAGTCTTAGTATTTCAAAATATCGAAATTTTAAAATTAAAATCTTTAAATAGTTTGAAAAACTTTAGAATAAAATTAAAACAATCGAAATAAAAAATAACCTTTTTAAAGGTTTAAATCAGAATCAATATTGCTGTCCTCGAATGAATCATCTTTGCTTTGCTTTTTCAATAACTTTGGTCATTGTAATTGGAAATATTAGTAATTTAAAGAATTTTTAAATTCTCGTAAATTTTCGGAGAAAAAACGAAGCTGTAATTTACCGGTAAATTACCGCAATCTCCTTTCTCTTCTTAACGTAATTTACCGTCTTTAGAATACTAGTGACGATTTTCGATTTTTTAAAAATGGGTGATATAATGGGCTTATTTTGATCTAGAATGCATATATTTGAAGTTTTAAACAAATGCCCAGGTGTGTGTGTGTGTGTGTCACAAACCTTGTGTACAAATTATTTTCAACACGCTTTTGATGAAGTGTCCTGAAATTTTAAATGCTTATTGCAGTCATCAATATCTAAAATCGGACACAAGAATTTCCAAAAACATCCACATAATTTTTTTTTATATCACTTTTTCAAAAATTCAAAAATACGTTTTTTAACCAAAAAATTTTTTACACTGTAAATATAATTTTTTTTTGTCCAAAAAAATGCTTTCTCGCATTAAAAGGAATTGATTAACCTTTATAAAATCTATATTTTACTTAAAATTAAGAGTGTCGAACGATCTCTGAAATTCTTTGACATTTAATTATCGCCCTAAAAAAACGGCACTGAACGTGAAAATGATAAACATTGATTTTAAAATACTTTTTTCTCGAAACGCGGACACTTTTTTCAAAATCGGACAAAATACCAAGGATCCTCATCTTATAAATTTTTTAAATCCGAAAGATTGTGCAAATCTATACAAAAACGCAATTGTAAAATGAAAAGTAAAAAAGTAATATAATTTTAGCTTTATTACGTCCTGCAGCCGTCAGGTGGCAGAAGCATGCAGGGAGCACAATGTCGCAGCTGTCATTATATTACTTTCCTACTTTTCATTTTATAATCGCGTTTTTGTATAGATTTCCACAATCTTTCGGATTTAAGAAATTTATAAGATGAGGATCCTTGGTATTTTGTCCGATTTTGAAAAAAGTGTCCACGTTTCGAGAAAAAAGTATTTTAAAATCAATGTTTATCAATTTCACATTCAGTGCCGTTTTTATAGGGCGATAATTAAATGCCTAAGAATTTCAGAGACCGTTCGACACTCTTAAATCATTTTTTAGTATTTTTTGAAATAACTTTTTTCTTCATGCAAATTTTTAATAAATTTTATCAGACTTGTATTCCTGGCATTAAAACACATATCGATTGATGTATATAAAGTTTACATTTTACCAATATTTATAAAATTAATCGGTACATATCTTTATTTTTAACAAAAAATTGAAATTTTGATTTTTTTTTAAACCAATAATATATGTGTTTATCATGATGAGGAAGCTAAATGTTCGTGAAATGAACAAATTTTTAAGTTGTTTATTAAATTTTTATTTTTGTACCATTTTTCAGTTTTAAGGTTATGTTAGAACCTCCATCCACCTTAATTAACTCAAATAATAATATTACATAATACAGATAAATATTTATATGATATACAAAATACACACAGAATAAAAATAATTTTTTAGGTTAAGAATCATGTCAAAATCTTATTAACAATAAATATAAAATAATAAATGGAACATCATCCGAATTATGACGTTTTGCAGAGAATGGTAGCTTTTTTCCCTTTTTTCGATACATAGTGAGGAACAAGAATAGAGAAAAGCAGAGTGAGGCAGGTGTCAAAAATATAAAGATATGGCATATTTCGGACGTTCTACTAGAATTTCAGTGGAAATTTACATACGCCCATTCTAAGCTAATCCTTAAGGTGCTTTTATACCTCCAGTATTTTGGTCAAGCAATCGGCTGGATTGAATTTTCACGGAGGAATCACTGAATTTGATTGGCTCTAACAAAATTCAATTTTCACAGTGAAAATCTAATATTTGTCAGAGCCAATCAAATTCAGTGATACAACCGTGAAAATCCGCAATTCAGCCGACTGCTTGACCAAAATACTGGAGGTATAAAAGCACCTTTAAGTTTACATCAAACATTTAATTTTGATTCAAACAAATAATATTTTTGAATTAAAGTGATATAGATGTTTTCCATATATTAAAAAAAAGCTCACAAACTGTGTCAAATAAAAAAAATCGTTCAAACAGATCTCTCTATTTAAATTAATAATTCTTTATTCCAAGTGAACCATAATATTTAATTCATTATATTAACATTATCTAACTTTCAAACATTTTTAAAAAAAAATTTTTATAAAATTAAAATGAACTGCAAAAAATAAAACAATTTTTTTACTGCAATTCTTCAAAGTTGAATAAAAAAAAAAAAAAAAAAAAAAAGTATTATATTTACAAATGAGTTAAAAATAACTGTTTGGTTTTCCCAAAAAAAAAAAAAAAATTCTACAAAAATTTAAATTTAATTTAAAATTAAAATGTGAATTATAAATTTTCTCACACGACTTGCAAAAAATTTTGTAAATTCGTCACAAAATATTCTTTATTTTGAATTAATCTTTATTTAATTTGTGACCGTAATATAATTAAACAAATAATTTACGAATATAATAAATATTCTTTTAAACTTTTTTTTTAAATTTGCGAAAATTTATTAATTAGATGGTACAGAAATTGCAATTTTTTTTTACAATGACATCTAATTATTTATATAACATACTTCAATAAAAGAAATTGCTTTCATTTGTAAAATCTCGCACTAAAGATAAACAATTAAAAATTGAAAAATTATTCTCTTGAATAATTCATTCATAAAATTCATTAACTTGTGTGATACCTTTGAGAAAATAAACAACCACTATATACATATATATATATATATATATATATATATATATATACAGAAAAGTGACAAGACTCATTAACCCTTATCTTGAATTGATGTCATCTAAAAATAGAAAAGTTTCACAAATCGTTTTCGTATTATAAAGTATAAGAGCTTATCAATAATTAATTTTTTTTGATAAAGTTCTTGATATAAAGTAATGAAATTGTCATTAATTTATAATATTTAATTACATTCCTAATATATAATAAGAAAATAAGAACGGATTTATGAAATCAAATTAAAATATACACTGTAAAAAAAAATTATTTGATTCAAATAATCGGTTTCTTGCCTATTATGAAATAAATATTTATTTGAATTACATAAACTGTATTTGAAACAAATATCATTTAATTGACTCAAATATAATAATTATTCAATAAAAACAAATAATTGTTTGATAATAGTCAAATAAACGATTATTTAAATCAAATAAATTTTTTGCAGTGTATTTAAATTTCTCCATTACAATATGTATCAAAAAATGATTCATCATTATATAAATTATTCGATAATTCCAATCAATAAATTATTTAATTATTTCTTTAGAAAATAAAGAAAAATTAGTAAAAATTAAAAATTTAAAAATCATAATAATAATTTTTAATAAAATAAATTTTATTATTATATAATATAATTATTTTAATAAAAATAATATGTTTATATGTTTGTGTCAAGTTTGTTATCTTTTTTTTTTACAAATAATTTATTGCTATTGACCTGAATCCAATCAGGGTCATTCGAATTGAATCGTATTTTGACTGCATGAATTATGTACAAGATTAACCTATGATTCTATAATAAAAATCAAGACACGCATATTTTTTTCTATTATTAAACACTATTACAATTTCTAAAACCTTCTATTAAATAAATAAATAAATATTTATAGGTACTATTATAAAATACTCTTTACTATAATCCAACAATTTATATATTCAAAAAATTATAAAAAAATAAATAACGTCAAAAAATTTAAATGATATTAAATATTAATGTAATTAATATTATATGAAATTTCGTTGCAAAAAAAATATCGATAGAGAAAAACAGATAATATTATTAACAAATATCTTATCAAGTTTATATTTTTCACATTTGCCATCGGAGTCTTCATCAATATTTTCTGATATTTTGATTTTATAAAAACAATATTATATAAATTTAACAAATTATTATTTTCATTATTATTATTACTATTATTATTATTATTGTTACTAAAAAATTTACATGGAATAAATAAATAAAAATAATAAAAAATAAAATAAAAAAAATTTCTTTAATGATATTTATTTTTATTATTACCTATTTATTCCAGATTTATTAATTACTTTATTATATTCAATGAGGTAGTTGAAAAAAAATTTCATTAACAATTTAAATTATTGGTTAAGAAAAAACTGAAAAAATCGTGTTTTTTTTTGTTTCATAATTTTCCCGATTTATCGTACTAATTTATTTATCTATTTCAGTAATTATTATTAAACTCATATATTTAAATGTATACGGCATTATTTAAGAGAAATCATTAATAATTTATTTATTTGTTTAATTTTAAAATATAATTTAATTATTGAAATAATATTATTAATAAACACAATAAATAACATAAATTCTATTCAGTGATAAAAAAAAAAAATTTCGAGAAAATCAAAAAATATATTTAAAAAAAAGTTAAACTATATATATATATATGATAAATAACTACATATTTATAATTTAAAGTGAAAAATAAATTTAATAAAGTTGAACAACATTTAAATATGATGTTATATGAACTCGCAGCTATTATTTTCACAATGCTCATCTGAAAATTAGGGCAAAATCCTTAAACAATTTACGAGCATAACATTCCACTCCAGTGGAAAAAAAAAAAATTCTATTATTCTTAACTTTTACACCCGACAAATATTTTCTCCTTATTTAAGTAGAAAAATTTGATTTTTTTTTCTGTTTTGAAACAAAAAGGTCCATTCATAAACTTTTCAAAAAATAAATAAATAAAGTGTTATTTTTCTTTTGAATAATTTTTCAAATTTTTATGAATTTAAATTATAATAGATATAATTTATAATTATATAAATTTATTATTTTATTTTATATTATTTATATTATTATTTTATTTTTTATTATTTATTATAATTTTTATAATTTATTTTTTAATTTATAATTTAATTTTTAATTTTTTTTTTTCATAAAGTTATCTTTTTTTCGTGCTTTTTATTTTTTTTAAATGATAAAAAATGTATTTTTAACTTAAATATAGATTTTATTTCTATAACTTTTCTTTCAATTGTGTTTTACTTATATTCGTAATTATTCGAAATTATTAGAACAAAAACATAGTGATTATTAAAGAATTTTTGTTGACAAATTCACATTAGATGATTCATTAAATTATCATTGAAGAAATACCTGCTATATTATGTTCATTATTCACAATGTTTAATTAAGATATTCATACAACCATTATTATTGGCCATTCAACTTCTTTCTTTCTTTCTTACATTCATTTATCCTACAATAATCCGTAAATTGTTTATCTTTCAAAAGAATAAATTTTTTACGACTTGATATTATTTTTTTTGTAATTTTTTTTATTATTATTATTATTATTATTATTATTATTATTATATTATTTTTTATTATTATTATTTATTTATTTTATTCACAGTAACAGAAATAATAATTATTATTAATGTTATTATTTTTAATATTTTTATTTTTACTATTATTATTTTTATTATTGCATTATTATTATTACTGTAGTTATAATAATTACTATCATTATATTATCAATGGAATATTAATAAATCACTGTCAACTCAATGCAAATCTGAAAATTGTAAAAACCAATTGTTCGTTTTAGCACTATACATTCCACACAATAACTTAAATTAATTCACTAATTGAGAACAGTTCCGATTATAACATTCCCCAAGGAGATTTTAAAATTGCTTTAAAAAAAAAAGATATGCAATTTTTTTTTCACAAAAATTTTAAATTATCACCATTATCATTATAATTAATATGTTCATTAAATAATCATTAATTATCATTAAAATTATAAATTGTTTACAAAAATAATTATACATTGAAAATACACTCACAAAAGATCCCTTGGTAGGGTCCTGTAAAGAATATAAAAGAACTTCCATCGACTTCCGGTAAAAATGAAAATTCCCAAAAGAATTGCAATGAGCGTGAAGAAGATTGTTTGAAATTCTATCATCTTGCTGAGTGCGATTCCGCTAAGAATCAGCACCGCAATCAGAATTGTTTTTAACTATTTTTTTTATGTTCGAAAAAAAAAAAAATTTTTTAAACGAACAAATCACGTATATTAGAAAGATATTTTTTCGCGACTAATGTGTGTTTTTTTTTAAAAAATATTATTGATGTAGCACAATAAATTATTATAAATTACGACACTGTGCATTCGAGGACGATGGAAAGACAACTGAACAGCATTGGACGAAAGGCATGAAACTACATTTACTTCAGATTGAATGGATATTGTCTGTATAGTGTGCAGCATACACATTTACAAACACAGACAACACATAAATGATGATAATCGTCATCAGCATCAGGGCTGTTTAAACGGTACTCACATGTATGTACCTCTATACTCATATATACATTTTGCGCAAGAAATTTTATAGACATATATATATACTAATGAACCAACAAAAATTTTTGTTTGCTACCAAAAAAAAAAGATTATGAATAATTTTGAGAAAACAAAAATTTCAATTATTTGTCAAATTGAATGTAAATTTTTTTTTTTTTATTTTCATTTATTTTATCCAGATTTGTACTCTATAAATCTGAATTTGTAAAAATGTTTACTAATTTAAATTAGTGACTTACTTTTTGCTTTAGAATTAGTTAAATTTTACTAATTGTTAGTAAAAGTTATTAATAATTAGTTAAATTTTACTAATTGTTAGTAAAATTTACTAATAATTAGTAAAATTTTACTAATTCAGAAGCGAAAAGTGAGTCACTAATTTAAATTAGTAAACATTTTTACTAATTCAGATTTAGAGACGAATTAATAGGGATTACAAAAAATTGGAAAAGAAAATAATTTCAATAGACATTTATAAATTTTTTTTTAAATTTAAAAATTCAAAATACAATCACTCTAAATTTTAATTAGTAAGAATTCTTTTACTAATTTAGTAGAAATTTTCACTAATCTTTAGTAAAATATTAATATTTCATTTAGTAATTTTTTTTTTTTTCTAAACTTTCAGTGAAAAATAACTAAGAATTAGTAGAAATTTCCACTAGTTTAAATCAGTGAACGAATTCTCATTAATTCAAATTTAGAGAGAGAAAGAAAATTATATTATCAAATTTTATAAAAGAGTTTTTTAAAGAGCTTAAAAATTTTAATTGTTAATAACTTTCCAAAAAAAAAAATATATATTTTTTTTTTTTGGCTAATATTTTTAGAAACTTATTTTTATCACGCACTAGAATTAAAAAAATTGATTTAAAAATTGAAAATTTTTAATTTTAGATGATCTGTTTGTGAAATTATGACTCAATACTTTGCTTTAATTATTTTCGAAGGTTTATTAAAATCACGATATAAAAAGAATTGTATTAAAAGATTTGTTATTCATTTTAAAATATGAATTTAATGTGTATAAGAAATGTTGAAAACTGTTATTTTTTTTGGCCGGTAAAAAATATTTTTTTAAAAAAACAACAAATTTAACTTAATCAAAAAATTGTTAGCATTTATTTATAATGACTTAATTTATTATTGTAAATTTAATAAAAGTATTTAAAGACATATGAAATAGTATAGATGAAACATTTTAATCAAGTTCACTTGACAAATAACAAAATTTCCCAATTATTTATATAATAATAAAATGCTTGGTCTGTCCTTCTGTCCTAACTTGAAGTTGGTCTTTACTGATTTAGTTTTTTTTTTTGCTTTTTTCTCAAAAACTGTTACAAATACAAAAAAATTTAATGAAGCTGATGTACGCAACGTTTATGATAAACGATTTTTAAAGAAATAATTTTCTAAAATGAAAAATTCTATAATTTTTTGCCTAAAAAATATTTCTTGTAGTTTTCATTAATCAATAAATTATACTTTGGAAATTTTTTAGAAAATTTGAGATTAGATGTGTGACACTGTTCATTATTTTATAATAATAATAATAATAATAATAATAATAATAATAATAATAATTAATATAGGCGCATATTCAATGTATTATTTTCAAAGGAATTATTTCCCATTGATGTAATAAACAAAAGAATAATTTTATCTATATATATAAAATGACAGAATAAAAAGTGTTTTTAAAAAATATAACCTTTCTGTAAAAGAAATTTACGTTTTACTAAAAAAAAAAAAATATGGAAACACTTCCAACTCCAACAGTTTTTACTGTTGCGAGTCCTTTAAAAATATTTTGGAATCAAGCACTTCAAGCAATTTTGCTCTCTATTGGAATTCTTCTCCTAGGAATGACACTTTTTCTTTTCATACCAAAAGCAAATAAAATTAATAATTTAAATACACCAACTAATTTCTCTCTTAGACGAATTAATTTTCAAATACCTTCAAAATCTTCTACAGAGGAGAAACTTATAAAAATTCTTCAATTCACCAACATTAATTATTGGCGTGGAAATTGGATGGCAGATAATCTTTTTACCTTCATGTCCACCTGTAAATCAGATGCAAGTTTAAAACACTATTTTTTTTATTAATTAATTTTATAATTGATATACAAATTTATTATTATTATTTTCATAATTCATATTATGGGGCCATCCATAAACTTTAAAACGGGGCGCATGATTATCCCATAAAAATCATTAGTTAAAATTTTCATTTTAAAGAATTTTATTAGATATAATTATTTTTTAGACGAATTTTTATTTTTCCAATTAATATTTTTGACAGAATTACTTTTTTTAAACAAATTTTTACTTAACATAATTCTTATATATCGATTTTTTATGGTACAGAATTCTTAAAACGCCGAATTTTTATTTGTCCAAAATTGCAAATGGCCGAACAAATATAATCTACAGAAAGATTTTCGTGCGATTTTTAAAATTTACCAATCACAATTTTATGAATAATTTTTGATTGGTTGATTTTAAAAGTCGCGCCAAAATCTTTCTGTCGATTGTTTGTGAACGGCCATTTGCAATTTCGGACAAATGAAAATTCGGCGTTTTAAGAATTCTGCCAAATAAAATTTCGGTGCGTAAGAATTCTGTTAATTAAAAATTCTTTTAAAAAAAAAAATTCTGACAAATGTTAGTTTGAAAAATGAAAATTCGTGTAAAAATTAATTATATGTAATGAAATTGTTGAAAATGAAAATTCTCACTAATAATTGATAATCATGCACCCCCTTTAAAACCCATGTGCGCAAGACCAAAACATATAGGATTTTGAAAAAATGGGGGTAATGACCCCAAAAACATTTTTTTTTATTAGAAAACCACTTCGATGTAAAGAAAAATCTACCTGCGTTACTTTTACAAGAAAATTTTTTTTTTCGGGATTATAAAACTTTGAAGAAAGCTACGTTCCATTAGGCGGGGGGAGGGGGTGTCTGTAATATGTTACCTTAAGCTACCTGGAGGATGGAGGGGGTCGAAAAGTGATAAAATAAGAGCTACGTAGTTTATGGATGACCCCTATACATATTACAATTCATATTTACTTTATTTATTTAAATTTATAAAATTGGTAAAAATAAAATTATTTATTTTCCTTATTCTCTGTCTTATTGGGATTAATTTTTAATGTAGCTAAAAATGTTGATTTTAAATGAAGAAAATTATACGGAATCTATAATAAAATCAAGAATGGAAATAAAATTTTTTAAAAATCCATGCACAACTTTAGTTTTTGGTTATTCAAATAACGAAGTGATCACTTGGCAAATGATTTATTATCGACCTTCAACGTTTTGGACCGAACGCACAATATTTGGTGCATACGGTCCAATGAATCAAATAAATAGAAAAAAAGTGAGAAACAATATTTTACTATTTCATCTTGAAATTAATAAATATCGTGAAAAACATTTTCTGATAAATTCGTTATTCAATTTTAATTAAAAAAATTTTAATTATTTTTACTAATATTTATTTGATATTTTAGTTTTATTCAAAAATTGCATATCCTCATTTTTGCATGAATGCCAATTGTTTTGTAACTTCTGTTCCAAAAAAGAAGAATAATTTTCGAATTCTAATTCAGGACAATAATTCAAGGCAGATTATTATTTCAGACAAACGTAAATTTCTGTACGATTAATTAAGATTGCAACTAGAAAAAAAAAAAATTTTAATTTATAGATGTCTAAATGAGTTTTTAATTTCATTTTACTGTTTCATGTGATTTTAGATTTTGTGGCGTTCAAGATACAAATACGGAAAATTATATAACATTTGGTAGTGGATACGATAAACATCTTGCTATTTTTTTGAATAGTAAAAACATTTGTTTGTACGATTATAATGTGGATTTAATTTTATTTTCATAATATTATTTTTTTTGAAAAAGGAATGATGAATTAATAATAATTAATTAATAATTTGTGTATTTTTTTTCAAACTGCAGATACGTATGCTTTGACATGTCTAATGGTTCATTTAGTTTTGAACATCCCTTTATTAATCATGGCAACACAAACGGTGCCATCCTTATGAAACCTAATACTCCTTACATCTCTAAACTGTCTTTGCATCTTGTTAAAATTGATGAAGGTATAGATAGATATGTATAGGTATATATACTAATTTCATAAGCTTACAAAATATATATGTCGTTTCTAATTTTAATAATTTTTTGTAAACATGTTTATTTTTCTTTTTTTTTAAATCTATTATTTTTTATTTAAAAAAGTTAATCTTTTTTCGTACATCGACCTCTTTAGACAATATTATAAATAAACTGTAAACATAAATAATGTTGGAGATTAACATAGAGATGAACATTAAAAATATTCAATTTGTTTAGTTATTAATAAAAAAAATATAATAAAAAGAAAATTAAACAGTTGAAAAATATTAACATAACCTATAAACTTTCCAGCGTGGATTTTTTAATTCACATTTTTATAATTTTCATTATTAATAAAATTAAAATACATAACGTTATTATGCTACAATTAAACTACAAAAAAAATATTATTTAGAAATTTTTCTTTTATGCCTGTTTGATAAGTGATTGAGCTAAAATAAAAAAAAGCATTTGTTTCTGTAGCCCAAAATCTAAAGAAATACGTAGCCGTTTTTAAAAATATTAATATTTACAATTTCTGGACAAGTTTATAAGTAACGGAATTTTAATCCAAAATACGTATTTTTTCATTCAAATCAATGCTATTTTATCAAAAGTACATAATTATTTTTAAAAACGGATTCGTATTTCTCCAGATTTTAGGCTACAGAAACTAAAGGCACTCGCACACCTTTTTTACTGCCTGCCTGCCTACAGGTTACCATGGCAATGCACGAGTGTGAGTGAGACAAAAAATTTGAATATTCAAAATTTTAAATCTTCTGTCGCACTTACTCTCATGCATTGCCATGATAACCTGCAGGCAGCCAAAAAGGTGTGAGAGTACCTTAATGCTTTTTGGTTTTTTATTTTAGCTCAAGTTTGGACTGAGATAAATTTTTCTAAATATTTTTTTGTAGTTTAATTGTAGTATAATAACGTTATATATTTTAATTTTATTAAAAAAATTTCCTTTCTTAAAAAAAATTTTTATTCATACAGAAGACACTAACGTACGATTGAAGAAAAAATTTTGTTTTTTTGTTTTTGATAAGAATTGTGAACCCTAGATTGGACGCAATGGGAAAATTTTGAGCAGCGAGTATATAACGTTTATTTTATTATTAAATTTTATTTTTTTTCAATAAAAAAATTATATTTCGAAAGTTTAAATATATAAGAAAACATCCACAAAAACTCGTATCAATTTATTTCAATGCGTTTGAGAAAAAATTTCTGAAATTTACACATTTTTTGACTTTCTATAAAGTAGGTGCCCCCCTTAATGAGTGTAATATGTTTTAAAATTATTTTTTGCAGCACTAACCTCTAAAGTTAAATTTTACACACCGAAAAGTGTGTGTAAAGAAGCTCTTTTTAAAACGGTGTGTTAAGTGATTCCCTTTACGCACTGAAATTTACTTTATGAACCAAAATTTTTCTCACATACTATAAGGATTGTTTTAGGGACCATTCATTAATTGGGTAACGACGATTTTGGCTAATTTTGACCCCCCCCTACCCCCATGTAAGAATACATAAGATTTTTCGGATCCCCCCCTCCCCCTTCTTACATAATTTTTTAACAATATTAATGTAATTAAAAAATTAATTACAACAATACAAATGGAAAATACTTGGCAACATCCCAGACAGCAATAGTGAGTTCAAATTGACAGCAAAAGTAACTCATGACGTGCGAGTTACCCTCACTTGGTGAATGCACATAAGCACGCAGATGTGTTCTCCATGGAGGTACATACGCCTCTCATTTTATGCGACTTCACGAAAGTGCTCGCAAAATGAGGGCATCAAAAAAGCGCACACACGTTCAGACAGACAGACAAAGATAGACATTTGAATGATACTCCTGTTAAATCTTTTCTAAAAATGCGCACTAGAGTAGATTGCACTTTAGACATGCACAGTGAGATCAATTAAAGTTTTCACATGCGCAGTAGACTCTGTTGATTTTTGGTGTAGCGCATTGGGGTTAAGTGCACTTAATACATGCGCAGTGGGGTTAAATGCACTTTAGACATGCGCAGTAGGATAAATTGAATTTTTCACATGCGCAGTAGGGTTGATATGTGAAAAGTTTAATTAACCCTACTGCGCAAGTCCAAATATCAATGGACTCTACTGTGCTTGTGAAAAGGTAATTGGACCTGAACAAAATAATAAGATAGTGGACGACACTCTTTAATAAAATAAAAAATATTTAAAATACTATTTAAGTAACATGATATTTATTAATATTATAAATTTTAATGTTTAGATTTAATGAATAAAAAAATTTGCACTTATTGTTTCACAACAAATTGAAGTGTTGATCCACTAACTGCACAATCTATACTGACGCTGACACTTGACAGACTAACGCTCACTCCACATACATTACAGCACGCACGAAATGCATCTATAAAGCAGCACTCACATGAATGTAATAAAGGTACTTTTATGCGTGCACGAAAATGCGACACACGTTATGCGAGATACAAGCGACTTAAGAGCACGTAACTGCCGGCATTACATGTGCACATGTGAACTCTCAAATGTGACGCATTTTGTGACACCAATATGCGAATTCAATGCACGCAATTAAGGTGCATTAATTCAGACATAAAATGCGACGCCTGACCATAGAGATAATATAAATAGAGTGGAGATGGTCTGTATAGAGGCGTCCGTTTGATAGAAAGAGAACGCGATTTTAGCACCAGTAGGTGTCTCTCTTGCGCTGGTGCTTATTGAAGGACAGATACTGGTGTTAAATCTTTCTTCTCTTTCCAACCCATTCTGTTTATGTCAGGACACTTCCCTCTTACGCAGCCGCCTATACCTTGTCTACTCTATTTATATTATCTCTATGCGCCTGACATGCGACTAACGTGAGACGCATGAATGTTATCTGGGTATCTTACGTAAGAATAGCTTCTAACCCCGCCCCACCCCCGACGTAAGACCATGTAGAGATTTTATAACCCCCCCCCCCTTCCCCTAAGGACCCTTACGTAATTAATGAATGGCCCCTTAAACCATACAAAACCACAAAATTAAAAAAAAAGAATTTTTCATGTAAATAAATAAAGTAAGATATTTAGTAAAGTGTGATTTTGATTTTTAAACATTTATGTAGAAATTTTTCCATAATTATTTGACTTTGTGCTTTTTTTGTATATCAATGAATTCTTCATAATAGGTACTTAACTTTAGAAGTGGGTGTTGCAAAAAATATTGTATGATACACGTGCGTAAATTTGATTATACTCTTGTGATTTGCATCACATGTAACATGTATAGTTACAAAAATGTAAATAATAATTTATTGAAATTATTTAATTAAATTAACATTTACATAAATTTATAGATTCACTTTATATGAAAAGATTGACCAATAAAAGAACTGAAGTTAAATGGCCAAAGGAAATTAATCCCAGATCATATTTTGTTGGATGTCAATGGTTTGAGGATTATGCAACGGTGGCAATTACGAGCAGAGATTTTCAAACAACTTGGTATCTATCCTGCACTTATCAAAGTAATTAAAAAATTTCTTACTTTTTTTTTCATTAGTTTAGAATATTTAACGTCAAATCGACAAAATTAACATAAAGCTCAAAAATTTAAACAGATTAAGATAAATGTTTTTTCTATTTTTTTTTATTCTATCAAATCATAATTCTAAAAAAATTTAAAAATGTTAAGGAATTAAAATTTTGTAATAATAATTGTAAAATTTATTGTTATTGTTAATGTAAATTTTAATGTAATATTGTCCTTTAAATAAAAAAAAATACTTCCAGTTCACAAATTAATAATCAATTAAAAAACAGTTGTTTTTCTATAAACAAAATAAATGAAAATTTTTTTTTAAAATACATAAAAATTTGTTATAATTCCACGGTTCTTTGTTAATTTGATTTTGGTGTCACTATGCACTATGAAAAAAGTAATTTTTAGAAAATCTTCGCAAGGTCTTTGCCTGCTGTTGACAATATGATCTCTGTAATAAAATTTTATTGCTCTGTAACCGTTGTCCTCAAGTCGTCTGGATAGTCATAATTGTAGAAAATAAGAACTATCTTCCTCGTGGTCTGCTTGTTCTTTGTTTTGTTTTTTTATTTTTATTTTGTAAAGATAAACAAGTATTAAGTCAATTTTTAGCGAGATTTGTTGACAATTCAAAAATTCTTTTTTTTTTGAAGTATTTTGGTTTATTCAATAGTTTGTTTATAGATTGGTTAGCCAATAATTCTTGCTGTACATACTTCTCGACAGTTTTGAAGTACATATCCCTTAATAGAGTTTACTCAAAAGTTACCTTCAAACAATTAACATCGTAAGCTAACAAGCAACTGCTGTATAAGCGGATATTGCATCTGAAACTAAATATTCTTACAATCATATTGTAGGTATCTAAATTGTAGGTAATTTTAAAATTCATGTTTTTCTCACAATTATTTAAAAAATTTAATTAATGGCATTTTTGAAACAACATTAAAGATATACACACATCTTTAACGTTTCGAAACCTGTACCGATTGTAGGTACTTAATACTATAAAATTCAGTAATTTTTTCAGCGAAAATTTCATTCCTTGTGTGTTATTATTTTCTCCAAGTTATATATTTAACTATTCTGATGAGTTTAAAAAAAAACAGTATTTGATTTTTTACTCTTGTGAATCTTAAAATAATTTTATGAAAAGAATATACAAAATATTATTTACCATTTATTCATGCGCATAGAACCGAGTGGAAAATGTAAAATACTTTGGACAAAAGATTGGACTCTAACCAAAGGCTATAGCGATATTTTATCTGCAGGATTTAACGATGGTGACAAATTAATAACAGTAACTCCGTCAAATTCTGAAAAGTCAACATCACAAATTATAATGATTAATACGACAAATGTCAATATTCATTCTTTAACAACAAATTGTTTATTTGTAATGGAACTTGTACGATGGGATAAAGTTCAAGAGGTAGAAAAATATATTCCAAAACACTAATATTATTATTATCGGCAACAAAGTATGAAATAAATTTTAAAAGAACTGATTTTCATTTAATTTTTCTTAAAATAAATTTCTTCAAAACAAAGTTAGATCGATTTATTTTTCAACTTTAACATACTTATCATAATAATTAGGATTTTATTAATTTATAGATTGTATACTATATAGCATCGAAAATTTCAAAACCTGATGAAAGACATCTTTATAAGTCCTTTTTTGGAAATCAATCACATCTTCAAGTTTATTGCTTGACGTGTGATGATAATAGTGATAATCCATCAAAAAATGAACGTAATCGATGGCCAACTTGTCATTATTCATCAGTAACATTTTCTCCCAAAGGAAGCTATTACTTATTGGATTGTCTTGATGATAAAGGCGGTGTGATATATATCAATAAAAAAAAAAGTACAGAAAAATCAATATATTATGATTATATTTGAAATTATAAATTATTGCAGATCTGAAAAATTTACCTGAAACATTTATAGTATCAACTAAGAGCAATATGATAGTACTCACTTTAGATAATCGTCAAATTGAAGAGGATAATTATAAAAAAGTTTTTTATGATGTACCAAAATTTAAATTTTTTCAGTGTCCTATTGCTGATGGAAAATACAATGTGAGTTTTAATAATTGTAAAAAAAAGTAAGAATATAATTTTTACACTAATTCTTCTTTAAAAAATTAAACACCACAAAAAGAATCTTTTTGAATATAAAGAGGATTTTCTTTTACAAAGAGATTCACTTTAGCACATTGTGTAAAGAGCTAAAACGAAACTCATTTAACCACATCAAAGAATAATTAACTGCTAGCATTCTGAAATGGTATCCTGTAAGGTAATATTTTAATTTGGTTATGCGCATTCAACCAAATGGTGCCTAATTTTCAATTGTTGGGCTTTACTCTCAAAATCACAATTAATTTATGGCTTCTTTAATGAAAATAATCTTTATCGAAAATTGGATAATTTTCTATCTGCTGGTACTATTACGTAGTGTCATTTTTTTTTTATGTTTTTTGTGGTAGCTATTGTCCTGTTCTCCTGATAATTCTTTTTCTGATCTAGGGACACGAAACTATCAACTTTATGTTATATTACTTTTTCAGATTTTCCGCTTCTTCCTGAATAAGATAACGTAGTTTGGAGACCTAAAGATTGATCTGCACTTTATCATTGGTTTGTTTGTCACCTCTTTGGTAAAACGATACTTACCTAAAGAACCATTAATTCTAATTAAAATTACTTTTGGATCTTTTTTTAAATATCTATCACAAATGTCTGACTGACCTCTTAGCAGATCAAAGTCATTCGAATTTTCATGAAAAAACTGAAACGACTTTGACCTTTAAGGAATTTTTATAGAACGTTTCATTAATCTCTAAACTGTATTTAACCCAACCAGTGATTTTGGTATTACGAATTTACACTCATTCAATCACGTGTTTGAACTCATTTGCTTCTCAAAATGGATGTATAATCAGAAATTAACAAAATAAAAATAAGTAATACTAGAATATATTATTAATCCCCCGGTCTAAAAACTTGGTTTTCGAAAGGACCATAGCTTTCAGTTTGAAGATTATCTGTTAATGATCAGAAAACGAAGGTTCCTTAGAGACTTTTCATTTTTTACCATATCTGCAATGTTTAAAGAGCAGAAAGTGATATCATTCACCTGTCTCCTAATTATATCTATAAACGTTGAGGACGAATCTGTGTTGAGAGAATATCTAGCTCCGTTCCTACTAGATATGCCATTAAATTCTGTCTTCTTTAGTTGATTTTCCTAGAAATCGGTTATTACCACTATCAGTTCTCCTTCTCCACAAAAATGGAACGACATAGTAGTCTTAGGATCCGAAAGATAAGTAAAATCAGCTCTCCAAGATCTTTAATAATACTATTGTTTTTGGATTAGTGAGATGCATTTTTGTAACGCAACTTGGGTCTTAAACCGTATATACTAATGTGTGGATCTATAAAGCGATTCTAATCCGTAGATGACAGTTGTCTGGTTGAACAAAGTCTGACAAAAGGGATCAAAAAGACATTGGTCTTTAGGAAGCTTTTTGAACTTTAACTTAACTTTAAAACATAAGTTCGTAGAACTCTTTTGGATCTCAAAATACTTTCCCTCCTCGATAATAAGACTTGTGAATTTTTTAATCCTTCCTTTATTGTGCTGTTAAAATTCTTTTGAACCTCGAAGAACTTGATAGATTCTGTTATACCAAAGTTGTAGGTTTTGGTGTCTAACGGAGAATCAGAATCGCTATACATAACGTTGCGCTATGCCTTTTACGAAAAGGGCCGAGACCCAATGAGATATGTACCCAGGTCCATGAGGGACTATAATCTCGATGTTTATGGTCTATACTTTCAGCTACTTTGACCACAAGGTACTAAGAGGATGGAAAAACGCCTTTTACGACATAGAATTCCTCGTAATGCCTTCTTTTTTTACCACAAGATAGACGATGTCTAGAGTGCAAGAAGAGGGTTGCCAATGAAATGGCGAAGCAGTTAGTTACACGGGAAAAAATTTTGCGTATGAGCTGCACTGCCTACTGCGCAGCTGCAGCTCTGTAAACTGTGTGTTGACGCGGGCCAGTTTATGGGTAGGAGCCGTCCATACTATATGAACACACGACATCTAAAATGCGTAGAAAGGTGATGCTCCTCGAGTCGTAACTCATAGCAGGGAATTCAACTGAACGATGATTCTGTACAGCGCGTAGGTTGGTCATGGGCAGCACAGGTCCAGTAAATCTGACACCAGATTCATAGACACGTTGGCAGCAGCTACTTTCATTTTTGTAAAAAGCGTTACCATTAGTGGGCAGCTCATGCGCAAAATTTTTTCCCGTGTAGTCATCTTGGCCCCGATAACACCCCAACAGTAGTGGGCGATGGTTTATCAAGGACAAGAATTGTGTACTTCCAGCGGGGACCACGCGGAGGTTCTGCTTTCAGACCGAAGTATCACCCTGCCTCCAGAAGAGGAGGCGTAGTGCATTCAAAGTTCCCTCTTTAGTCACCTCTTACGACACACGATGGGTTACGGGAAGACAAATTCTCGTCCGGTCTTCCACGGCCATCTTGCACACGATGGGCCCCATTTTACAGGTGAACATCGTGGCAAGCATAGTGCATTCAGTTGTCCTAACTGCGCGTCTCCGTAGAAGCGGTACTTAGCTAAAAGATTACGATCCTCCGCGCCCTTTTTAATCGCCTTTTACGACATGCAGTGGGTTACAGGCGACCTATTCTGAAGCCGGGAACACCACGGCACCGATACCTAAAGTCAATGAAGTATTAAATATTGGCAAGGTGGTCAGCTGCTATTTTTCTTCCTGTTTCACGATTATTTAAATGGAACTAGCCAAAACTTCCGGCTAAGAAATAAGAACTACCACTGAAATTAAACTACTTTGGTCATCCCTAAACCTATTTACGTTCTGTTTCAGTAATTCTTTTGATGATTATTGTAGAATAGAGTTTCAAAGTAATAAATAATAATAAAAAATCCGTAATGGGTTGATAATACCTCATCGGGTGCCTTTGCAGGTGGCTGATAAAATAACCTTGATTCACATAATTGCGGATCGAATTCCTATTGAAACCTTCGATTTCATCTTTATGCTCCTAAAGTTCTACGACTCCAACTAAAAGCTACTTTGGAATTTGCGAAATGTTTTCAATTGGAATAAAGTAATTAAATTCGATACTCATTTATTTTGTATCTATTTCTGTTATTAAACATTTTGATCTCAATATCGTCTTTATACAATTTTCGAGTTTCCTCCCTTTACCACTTTAGTTATTCATCATTACTAATTAGAAATTAGTTACTCATTGAAAGTTATATACCGTGACGAAAGTTTGCCTTAATATCATCATTAGTGTAAATCAGAAATAACATATTTACTCTCATGTCATTTAGTCAATACTGAATTAAATAATTTAGAACTTGATATTTCAAATTTATTTTTGATAATATTTTTTTTTAGGCAAGAATTAAACTTCAATTGCCGCCTAATTTCACTTCAGATAAAAAATATTCTTTAATTGTGGGAGTTGATTCAAGAATAGGTTCACAGCAAGTCAATCGAAAATGGAAGATTGATGTCGGTAATTCTAAATTTTTAGAATATTTTATTTACAATCATTTAAAAATCTTATAACCATATCAATGAAATCTTATCAAAGGTACTTATGCATCTATCGAAAAAGAATACATCTATGCTGTGGCTGATGTCAGAGGTTCTGGATATCAAGGATATGAATTTGAATCAGAACTCTACAATAACATTGGCAATCCTGAAGTGGATGATCTTCTGGAAGTTCTCCATTGGATGCTGAATAAACTTCCATACATTGACTCCGATAATGTCTTTGTTCAAGGAGAACAATATGGTGGAATGGTTGCTATTCTAATTGCCCTAAAAGAACCAAATTTAATTAAAGCAATAGCTATTTATCATCCTCCTCTATTTTGGAATGGGACTTCCGCTTTTTTCGCTGAAAGACTTCTTGGACTTCCAACTTTAGATGATAATTACTTTGGGTATAGTAAATTCCAATTAATATTGTTGTATTTTCTTTTTTGTTTAAAAAATTTTAACATTCTTGATAACCTTTAATGAAAAGATACAAAGCCAAAAGTATTGGTGAAAATGTCAATAGATATCGAGATATGAAAATTTTAATTGTAATGGATATGAGCACAAACAGTGGTGGACACTCACAACAAATTTCAATGATGAGAGACAAAATAAATAACGAGTCTTATCATTTTGAATTTTTGAACGTAATTTAAACCTTCTTTAATTATGTTATATCAATTAAAAAAAAAACCATCAATGTTTTTATATAAAAAAATTTTTTTTTTACTATTTTGCTTGATAAGAGATGATTACATTATCGTTAACTATTAACGAATTAATTTGTTAATTAATTAAGTTACTTAATAATAACTAATAAAGTTATTGAAAAATAGGTTATTGAACTCTGTTACGGATCTGTGATTGAAAGAGGACGTCATAAATTGTCGTATTATCAAATGATGTTTCAATATTTTGACAAGTATAATAAAAAAACTTTATAGTTTTCATGAAAACTTGTGTATATTTATAAAGAGTTTCAAATATAATATACATATATATATATATATTTATTTATATAATATAGAGTTAAGCAGCCTTGTTATGTAAAAGAAATAATAAACAATATATATTACATTTAGAGGTAAAAATTGGTAAATCTGGTGAACATCGAGACCAATTTGGTCAGGAATACTTTATGATGATAGGCACTGAAACAATAAACAAATAGAGATAATTTAATTATTGTTACTAATTATAATTATATAATATATTTTATAATTTTTTAGATCATAAAGCATTGATTTTTTAAAAAACACTTCAGCATTGTGGATAACAGTAGAAAGGCAAGTATTTTTCTACAAAATTGGGGTCATTCACCAAGCATAAAAAAAATTTATCAAAAAAAAATAGATTTAAAAAATATAAAATTCAAATAATTATGCTAAAAATTGCAAAAGGCTCTGTAAGTAATTTTGAGTTTTCTGAATTTAATTTAACGAAGTTAAAAAAAATTAAAATTTTTCTAAATTCAACAAAATAAAATTTTTTTTTATTTTTTCAATAAAAGGAAAATTTTGATAAGTTTATTAAAACTTAAAATTTTTTAAGTTAAAAAAAAAACAGAAAATTTTTCTAGGTTCAGAAAAATTGAAATTTTTTTTCTAAGTTAAAGAAATACAAAAGTGTTCTAAGTTTAGAAAACTAAAAAATTTTCTGAACTCTAAAAACGCCCACACTTTACAGTATCACAAATATACTTTGTAGATGGCCCAAAAGCAAGAAATAAATCACACACATAAAAAATAAAATAATTTTTAAAGGATATAGGACCTTCCAAATAAAAGGTAAAGGTCGACGTCTGCGATTTTTTTTTTCAACTCAGTAAAATTGTACTATATGTGCTAAAACAATTTTTCAAAATTGGTAAAAAAAAACTTCAAAATTTGATAAAAATATTGGTTTTAGAAAAAAAAAAACTCTATAAAAATATTGTTAAAAATCGATTAAATTTTATGAAAAAAAATTTATTTTAAAAAATTAAACGTTCAAATCAAATGAAAATCTACTAAATTATTTTTTTTTTTTAGAAATCATTGTCCCTCTACAAAAATTCATTGAAGAAACGTACATTTTGTGAAAACAATTTTTAAATTAAAAATTATTAAAAATTTAATTTTATATTTTAGTTATTTACCATGATGGAGATAACCGATTTTATTTCAAAAATTCATATATAATATTTAAAATGGTCTGAAAATACCTGCCATTAAAAGAAATTTAATTTTTATTTTTTGATTAATAAACGCTTCATAAAAATATTCAAACATTTATCAATCAAATATGATATTTCACATTTTAGCAGATGTTTTAAGGCTATTTTAAATATTGTGTATATATGAATTTGAAAAAAAAAATGGTAAATAAATAAAAAAAATACTAATTCATAGTAGATAACAATAAACAAAAATTGTTTATTTTATAAATATAGCTGAATTGAAAAAAAAAATTTTAATTTAAAAAATATTTTTAGAAAATTTAATCGATTTCAAATCATATTTTTTTAGAGGGACATTTTCTCCTACACCCAGAGAAAAGATTTTTTTAATTTAAAGAAACCAATTTCTTTGACTTGTTTTCTTTCATCAAAAATAAAATTTTCTTTAAAACAAAAAAAAAAAACTTCTTACTTTCAAAGAAAATATCTTTGATAAAAAGAAATTTTTTTCAATGAAAGAAATTTGTGCATTAAATCAAAGAAATTCTTACATTGGTATAGGATTAAAAAAAAACATTTATTTGAATTAAATAAAAAATTTCTTTGAAACGAAGATAATCTTTTTTGAATCAAAGATAATTTGTTTGAAACAAATAAATTTTCTTTGAATTAAAGAAAAAATTTGTCAAAGAAATTGATTTCTTTGAATCAAAGAAATTTTTTTCTGGGTGTAAAATCAATATTGTAGCAGACTTTTTAACTTAAAAAAAATTCTCATAAATTTTCAATTGTTAATAACATCAAAATTATTCACAACAATTTTACTGATTATTTAAAAAAAAAAATCCCAAACATCAAACATACTCGATGGTGAAATTAACATAAAAAAGAAAAAACCTAATTTTAAAAGTAGCTTTTAAAATACCTTGGTTCCTTATAAAACTTTCTGCTATCTCAGGACGAGGTAAAGCACGACGATGTCTAAAACTGAAAATTACATTTGCCAATCTAACCACAATGTTGAAACAAGTTATGAAAAAATATTTTCTTTTTTCTAATGTGATTTAAAAAAAAAATAAATAAATTTCTTACACATTATCAAAAAAAATTTTCATAAAAAATTTCAAATAAAGTGAAAAAAAGAAGATAGAATAGAATTAGAGAAAATATATATGTATTTTTTTTTTACAAACTATATCCTACCTATAATACAAAGAATAACTGTCAATGTAATGGCAAAGACAATTATTCGGGATTTAATATTTTGCATCCATGCACGACGTTGAGCCTTTTTTGCAGCATCTCTAAATTCAGTTCCCACCATATTTAATCGATCACTCGCTGCTTGTAAATCTTCCATTCTTTCTCCTCTTTCCATTACTTTTTGTACATTATCACGCATCGTATCAGTCACCTCTTTTATTTGTATTTTCACACTGTAAATTTAAAATTTTGTTATTTTTATTGTTATAATTTCTTTTTCTCTATATCGTTTTAAAAAACTAGATGAAAATATAAAAAAATATACAAAACTGCGATTATTCATACGTATTGAGTTCAAATAAAATAATATTTTTTTAAATTAATAAATTATTTTCTAAATTTATTAATTTATTTATTAAGAATAATAATAATAATTAATATGAGCGTATGAATTTCCCATAAATTTTTTCAATTTCATTTTTCATTTTAAAGAATTTTATTGCATATAATTATTTTTTAGATGAATTTTCATTCTTCGAATTAGCATTTGAAACTTTTAATCTAGATTTAAATTTTTTAAACAAATTTTTACCCTTCGAATCTTTTTTTTTACCGAATTTCTCTTTACCAATTTTTTATTTCATAAATTGCAATTTTACTAAATAGTAATTTAGCAAAATTCTCATTAAACAGAGTTTTAAGTGATTCTAATTTTTAAATGCCAGAATTTCCAATCCACCGATTTTTTATTCGTCTGAATAATTATTTTCCCAAATTGTTATTTGATAGAATTCCTAAAATGCTGAATTTCCATTTTTGCCCGAAATGACAAACAATTTTGGCGCGAATTTTAAAATGAACCATTCACAATTTTCTTGGTAATTTCTGATTGGTTATAATTTAAAAATTCGCGCCGAAATCTTTCTGTCGATTGTTTGTCAGTCATTTATAGTTTTGGAGAAATAAAAATTTTGCGTTTTAAAAATTCTATCAATCAACAATATTTGTGCAAATAAAAATTCGAATAAATGAAAAATTGATGAATTCGAAATTTTTGCATTTAAAAATGTTCTAATCAGTTAAAATTTTTTGTTAAATAAGAATTCTGCTAAATTAATATTCGGTTAAAGTAGAATTTTTTACATAAAAAAATTGGCAAAGATAAATTCTGTAAAATAAAAAATTCGAAACGTAGAAAAATTTTGTTTAGTAAATATTTATTTTAAAAGAAAATTCTCTCAAATGCTAATTTTAAAAATGAAAAATAAAACAATCATTAAAAAAAAATATTATTTAGAAAATAATTATATGATAAAATTTTTTAAAATGAAAAATTCTTTAATTTTTTGCCTAAAAATACTTTTTTAAAATTTATTGAGTAATAAAAACTACAAGAAATATTTTTTAGGCGAAAAATTATAAAATTTTTCATTTAAAAAAATTATTTCTTTAAAAATCGTTTATCATAAACGTTGCGTACTTCAGCTTCATTCAATTTTTTTTACAGATCTTAGATACAAATGCATTAAAAGTATTAATTTAAATCTAATATCTTGAATTCAATTTTTACCTTGAAATTTTCCCATCCACATGAACTTCACCACTGGCCGAGCTTCTATGGCTGAAAATTAATGTTAAATTTAATATTTTCTTAATAAATTATATATAGTAATTAAAATAAAAAATTTATTAAAAAATTATTTATAGAATTAATTTTTCAATTTAAAAATTTTTTTGAAACAAAATCTTCTCTCCGCTATATGAGGCATTTAATATGAGAATGCGGGGTCATGTCTCAGATTTTTCTCAAAATTCGGTAAATTGTAGCGATAGTAGTGCTAAATAAGTGTACAAATATTGAATTTGAAATTTTTAATATTTTTCGAGATATTTACAATAACAAATTTGAGCAATATTTTTCTGCTTTTCTTATAACTTTTTTTCCTATAAAAAATAAAGAAAAATGTTGTAAATGTTTTTTACGCGGAAGATCTTAAACTTTTAGAAAAAATTATTTTTAGAAAAAAATTATTTTTTTAAACAAATTGTTTAAAAAATAAAATTTGTTTATAACATTTAAACATGTTCTCCCTCATTTAGAAGCGCGACAAAAATCATGAATATTGTTTAAGTCATAATAAATCGATGGTTAAATTTTTGAGATGGTATTATTTTTTTGTTTTCGAGATATTAATTAATTAACTAAAAAAAGTTAATAAAAAATGAAATATTTCACGAACAAATAAAATTAGAGTAATTTTAAAAACACCATTAGAATGCTTATCAAAATCCGCATCCAACGAGCCCTATATGAACTATTTTGGATAAACGGGTGTTAAATTAATAATTAATAATAAAAATTATTTAAATAATTAATAACATTTAAGGAAATGAAGATAAACCGTCAATTCTTTTTATATTTGGAAGATCATCTAATTCTGTGTCAAAAAAAGATTATTAAGTATTACTAAGAATCAAAAATTAATTATAAAATGTTAATTAAAAAAAACACTGAAAAATACCATTCCGAGTAGGTAAGCAGTCCCCTCCAACATGTATCGTAGGGTGCTGAAACCTCAATTTTCAATAATCATCTGTTAATAATTTAGATTTCTTAAAAATGTTATATACACTGGTTTTATTTAAAACAGAATTAGATGATCTTCCAAATAAAAAAAGAATTGACGATTTATCTTCATTTCCTCAAATGTTATTAATTATTTTAATAATTTTTATTATTAATTATTAATTTAACACCCGTTTATCCAAAATAGTTCATATAAGGCTCGTTGGATGCGGATTTTGATAACCATTCTAATGGTGTTTTTAAAATTACTCTAATTTTATTTCTTCGTGAAATATTTCATTTTTTATTAACTTTTTTTAGTTAATTAATTAATATCTCGAAAACAAAAAAATAATACCATCTCAAAAATTTAACCATCGATTTATTATGACTTAAACAATATTCATGATTTTTGTCGCGCTTCTAAATGAGGGAGAACATGTTTAAATGTTATAAACAAATTTTATTTTTTAAACAATTTGTTTAAAAAAATAATTTTTTTCTAAAAATTTAAGGTCTTCTGCGTAAAAAACATTTGTAACATTTTTCTCTATTATTAGTAGGAAAAAAGTTATAAGTAAATTAAAAAAATATTGCTCAAATTTGTTATTGTAAATATCTTGAAAAATATTAAAAATTTTAAATTCAAAATTTGTACACTTATTTAGCACCACTATCACTACAATTCACCGAATTCTGAGAAAAATCTGAGACATGACCCCGTATTCTCATATGAAATGCCTCATATACGTCTGGAGTTGATTTTAATTGCAATATTTTTATATAATTATCAAACTATTTATTTTAGATAAAAAAAATGTTTTTTTCTGTAAAAAAAAATTAAAAAACTAAAATTGAGAACAATTTCATTAATTTTAGACACCACAAGAACTTTTAATATTCAACTGCTTGATTAAAAAATAAATGACATGAAATATTTATCAGTATAATTACCACGTTTTCATATATATATATATATTATCAACTAAAGTGAAGATTTATCTTAATGTTATCATTTAATTCTTAATTAATCGAAGTATTTATAAGTATATATATATATATATATATATACAAAAGTAAAAAATTGTCTATGAAGATAAAGAAATTTCATTATTATAATTAAATTCAAATTTTATTTATAATTCAATTATTTGATTTTAAATTGAAAATTATAATTCTTTCTAAAGCGATTTGTTAAGTTCAACATTAAATAAGATAAACATAACTAAAAATAAATAACATTTGATAAAGTATAAAAAAATAAACAATTTATACCATTTCATACTATTTTATTCAATAATTTTATATTTTATTATTATATTTTTATTCTATGATTATTATTGTTATATTTTTAAAATTTCTTTATACGCAGAAAATTAGTGTCAAACGATAAATAAAAGATTTAAATTAATCAATAAAATACATACACGTGTACTGTTTCCTCTTCCATGTCGCTGTCGTATTCCAAAAGAAATTCCTAAAGAATTTAATGAATTTATTGACAATACATAAATTGTTTGTCATTCATTTTTTTTTTTTTTTTGTCAACAATAATAAAACTTTATTTTACCTTCTCACAGTCCTGTGCACTTCTTAAATCTTCGTGTGATAAACTACGCCCATGTTTTGAGGGCATAATTTTAAATTATTTAATCACTGATTTACACAAATTTGATTAAATTTATTTGTTCTTTGGAATGTGTCGTCCATAACAGGGAATCTTTATGAAAATATAATAAAATCTATTTGTTTGATATTCTTGTTCGCACTACATGATTACAAATAATGCGCAGCCATGTTTTTTTTATATATATGCCAGAGACACTGTTCTATATAATGTAGTTTTCCCTTTCACCAACTGAGAGAATTATTTTAATTCAAAAATATTACGTAGAGATGACGCTAGATTGTCAATATTGCGCCTATATCATTTCAAGAATTTTTTCGTTAATAAATATATATAAATGATTTTGAATCTAAGTCGAAAAATTCTTAATTTTTTTTTTACGAAATATTAATTTTTAACAATATTTCTGATGTATTAATATAGAAATTAATTTAATGAAATCTTTTTTCTTGATATTAATATTTTTTTGAGTAATTGATTTTTAAGGTGAAATTTTTTATTTAATAGCATGTGATTGTAGATCACGTGATTGCGCCACAATGTTAATTTGTCGACAACTTTTCTCGTAAAAAACTGAATGAATTGAAATAATATTTTTTAGAGAAGTTTAAAATATACGATGAGGAATTGCTTTAATGTGCAAAAATTGTAATATTTGTTGAATTAATTATTATAAAATACTAGAAAATCCAAACAGTGACGTCACTTCTAATCTCAAATTTTCTAATAATTTTCAAGTATTTTTATAAAAATTAATTCAATAAATATTACAATTTTTGCACATTACAGCAATTCCTGGACATATTTTAGACTTCTCTAAAAATAAATATGTGACCTGGACAGTTAAAAGGGACCTTTTGTCCGAAAAAATCGATTTTTTATTGATTGGTGATTCTGATAGAGAAAACTTTTTTCTATCAAAATCACCAATCAATAAAAAATTAATTTTTTCGGACAAAAGGTCCCTTTTAACTGTCCAGGTCACATATATTAATTCAATCATATTTTAGTATATTTAATGAGAAAAATTATCGAAAAATTAAGATGACGTGACCTAACAATTACATACATGGCTTCTAACTGGAAATTAATTCAATTATTAAAATACATTTTACATATAATAAATATGTAATATTTATATTATTATGTCTATTAAAAATAAATAATTAATTTTGACCTACAATAACTTTTTTCAATACTAAAAAAGACGGAAATTTTAATTAAAATTATTATAGGTTAAATTAAAATAATAATATTAATAACAATAATAGTAACTAAAAATAATATTTTTGATTTTAATTAAAGAATTATTTCTACATTCTGCAATTCGTAAAAAAAAATTGTTTTTTTCTCTTATTTCTATTTTTTACGTTTTTTAACTTGCAAAAATGAATAAGGTTATGTTAATAAGGAGATAAATTTTTTTTTTTTTTTTTTGAGAAAAGAAATTATTTTCTATTCATCCTTGAAATTTTATTTAGGTAATTTTAAATGGTGGGGATAAAATTTTTTCAAACATATTTTTATATTTCCGATTACACTACCGTCCGAAATTGTGCGAACTCTGCTTTTTCAACAACTATAAAACTGTTCAAATCTTCAAAAATATTAAAACTAAAATTTTTCCTCTTTATTTTATTAAAGCTAATAAAATTCTGAAACAAATGACACCTTGACAAAGAGAATATATTAATTTTTCAATTAGATATCTAAGAAAAATCCAATTTTCAATGTTTTTACTATTTTTTTTATTTCTCTGGCAAAAATTAATATTTTTAAACGTTCTTAGGCTCATTGAAATCGTATTTTGTTATGCAATTCAAATTATATAAAAAATTAACATATTCTCTTTGTCAAGGTGTCATTTGTTTCAGAATTTTATTAGCTTTAATAAAATAAAGAGGAAAAAATTTTAGTTTTAATATTTTTGAAGATTTGAACAGTTTTATAGTTGTTGAAAAAGCAGAGTTCTCACAATTTCGGACGGTAGTGTATATTTTATTATTATAATACACGGAGAGAAATTTCTAGGAATATTTAACGTGCTGCCACCTGAAAGTGTGTGCAAAGTACATTTTGGCAGTTTTTACTGTGCTGCCCCTACAATTTTGCATTACAGATTGTAGAGGCAGCACAGTAAAAACTGTGAGAATGTACTTTGCACTCACTTTCAGGTGGCAGCACGGTAAATATTCCCATAGAAATTTCTCTCCGTGTATTATATATTTATAATACATTATACATTATACATTATATAATTAAAAATATAAAATCATTTTTTGCCATATTTATAATTTATTTTAACTTTATTTCAACCAATTACATTCATAGGAATAATAATAAGAGCAAGAGAGAAAAAAAGAGACGCGTATCTATTCTCTCTGTCTCGCATTTTCATATCCAAATTTTGTCTTTACGTGATTGGTGCAAATTTCAAAATTATCTTAACGCGTTTAAATTTCTTAAAATCACGTGATTACGAATTCACTTTATTCCTCATTTATAGAATTTTGAGGGGTGGGATCATTTCTGTAGCGTCGGCCAGTAATATCGGGTGCAATTTTGAAAATTATTTCGTCACGTTTCGCCTAAAGACCATGTGTTCGGGAATTAAATTAAATTGTAAATTTTTTGCTTTCGGCAGTGCTCGTATTATTTAAACTCGCGATCGAGTGAAATATTAATATTTTTTAAATTCATTTTTTTGTAAATTAAAATAATTTTTTTTTTAAATCGGGAGTGCTTGACTGCTTGTGATATTTAAAACCGCGATCGTATGTAAAAATTGAATGAGTTTTTTTTTTATAAAAATTAACACGTGGTTCGGGTGTGTTCGAAATTTTGGGTGCACTTCCGAAAACCCCCCCCTTCCGATTTTAATGAAACTTGGTATACTTACGTAATTTCATGCGCTGATCACGAAAATGATAGTGAAAATTACCGCAAATTTCATTTTTATGGTGAAAACCATAAAAAACACCATAAAATTATGGTTTTTTGCGTTTAACTCGTAAAAAACGCAAAATTAAAAAAAATCGTTCTTACAAAAGTTGTAGAGCTTCTAAAAATGAACATTTTATGTCCTATACATTTTTTACCAAAAGTCATTAGTTTTCGAGAAAAATGCAAAAACATGAAAAGCACACTACAAAAATTACTAATACCACGAAACTGGAATTCCTATAAAGATAGTTTTGAGAGATCGCACATTAAATTTGATTCGTTTGAATATTATATTATTATGATATTATATTATATTATACATATATTATGTATATATAATATATAAGATGTCTTCCCCCCCTCCCCCCCTGGAAGTAGCTCTGCACAGCAAAGAATGCAGAGGCGGGCGAAGCGCGCCATCCCTAGTATCGTTGCTCTCTATCAAAACAGACAGTCAAATTCACATTCTTAATGGTACTGGAAGGTACGGAACCCACCCCGACCCCCCTCCTCCAAGATGTCTTCCCCCCCTCCCCCCCTGGAAGTAGCCCTGCACAGCAAAGAATGCAGAGGCGGGCGAAGCCCGCCTTCCCTAGTATCGTTGCTCTCTTTCAAAACAGACAGTCAAATTCACATTCTTAATGGTACTGGAAGGTACGGAACCCACCCCGACCCCCCTCCTCCAAGATGTCTTCCCCTAAAAGTTCTTTTGGAAATAGCCCTGCACAGCAAAGAGTAGAAGGTTTTTTATTAAAAGATATTGTCCGTCACATAAGACATCTGCCTCTTGTGGATAATAGCTAGAAGTTGGTGATTTTCACCGTTTTTAAATATTTTGCATTTTTCTCGAAAACTAATGACTTTTGGTAAAAAATGTATAGGACATAAAATGTTCATTTTTAGAAGCTCTACAACTTTTGTAAGAACGATTTTTTTTAATTTTGCGTTTTTTACGAGTTAAACGCAAAAAACCATAATTTTATGGTGTTTTTTATGGTTTTCACCATAAAAATGAAATTTGCGGTAATTTTCACTATCATTTTCGTGATCATCGCATGAAATTACGTAAGTATACCAAGTTTCATTAAAATCGGAAGGGGGGGGTTTTCGGAAGTTTATCCGTGATTTTTTAATTTTTCATTATATTGTCGTCTTCAGTAGACCCAAGAGCGTGTGTATACTAATTTTTAATCAAATCCGTTAATAATTGTAAAAGATACGATGATTTATGTTTTAAAACTTCATGAAATATTCGTTATTCAAAAAAATATTAAAGGAAAAAAAGATGCGCCTATTTATTTCCTACAAGGTAGTACTTTTCAAACATCAAAATTTTGAATTTGAATTTTCTTACCATTTTTGTAGGTTTTACTGGATTTACAGCGTACAGCTGAGCTGAGCGCGAGTTATTATATCCAGGAGCTCAAATGAACAAATTTTTTTTTTGTAACTTCTTTAAGTACGAATTTTATTACAAAATATTGTTTTAAATATCTAAAAAGAAGTTATTAATTTAATATTTGTTTAATTTACTGTTTTATTTTACATTGACATTATAATTTCTAATAATTTATAGATTGAAAAAAATATTTTGTTCATTTGAACGTTCAAAACTTTTGGCACATGTTTTTTCTTCGCAATTTATTTACCTTTAAAAAATTCTAATTAGACAAAATTAATAATAATAGATGTTTTAATTAAATTAAAATCATGAAATAATGAAATTACACATTTGCAGCAGAAGTTGGACATGCACTGTAAAAAAAATTAGAGAGTTAACGTTACTGGGAGTTAGGAGTTAAAATTTTCGAGTTAAAAATCAACTCAAAAAGGAAGTTAATAATTAAATTAACTCCTTACAACCAACTCCCTAGGCATACAATTAACTCCAATTAACTCCCTTCGCTTCAACTCCAAATGGATGAGACTTTTATATAGCATCCCCTAGGGAGTTGAACTTCAACTCCTTTTTTTTACAGTGTAGGGGATGCTATAAAAATCCCACCCATTGGTGGGAGTTAATGCTTTACGAGTTAATGTTAAAAAAACATTTTGTTACTTAATTTACAATTAATTTAAATATATGCGAACCAAAAAATTTAGTCTGTTAAACATTTTATATTTAGAGTACTTGTAATAAAAAAAAATTCTTAAATGTGCTCCACAATTTGTTGTGTTATTGGAAAAAAAAATTTTCAATATATATTTATCTTGCTTTGAGAAAAACAAATTTTATTTTATTATTGTTTTATATTTGAT